GTACACCTAACGACCGCCTGTCTTGCAGCACAATGTTGGCTGAAGTAGGCTCAGTGTAGAGAAAAGCTAGAAGTAGCCAGACTGAAACATGGCATCAATGCATGAAGTCCTAGACCGTTCATTTGAGCCATATGGGGAGGTGCAGACTAGCTAGTTGGGGTCTGCAGGGCAAGGGAAACCAGTGGTTGAAGACTCGAGGGGACATGGCTCAGATCCGATACCAGTGGTGCAGATGTATATACACTTTACCCGCACACTAACCACCATACCTCACCTCGTTATCTTCTCACTCCTCCTCTCATTTATTACCTTCTACTTCCTTTGACCGACTTTTCTTTCCTCATCTTCCATTTTATTACCTTGTTACTTGTGAGATGTGGCAGTCTTGACCATTGCGCAGTGATGCGTGATTGCCTGTTGATCTTGAAGAGGATGACCAATCCCTTACCAGCGTGGAACAGCACCGACATCCCTACTTAAAACGTGCATTATGGGGGCCTCTAACATGGAACACTTGTGGAGTATCCAAATAAACTTTATTCTGATCAGCTTAAAACGGTTATTCGTAAACGATGATCATTACTTCTAGTGTACCCTCTCTATATTCAAGATTCTAGCCTACCAACTCAAATTTCTAGTCATCACGACTGTGACAGCATATGGGACATATGGTTTGGGCCTATTTTTTCTTTCACGATTAACTGAAATACCTCTGTGTTGAACTTAATGTTACATCTTTTGGTCACCGGAACTAGATATTTTGTCTACGAATTAACTTTGTCTTTTTCAATTGTACATTGAGTTAACTATTTCGAACCATCAATGCTGTACCAACATCAGAATTTAAATGGTATGATTACATAATTGTGCCTGTAGACCGGTGTGTGCTTGTGTTGACAAGAATGCATTATTACTATTATTGTTATTATTATACCTCCACTCATGCCACAGTCTAGCCTGATTTATCACACAAAAATGATTTGTATTACTGCATGACATAAAGACCCACTAGCTCTACAGGAAGAAAGAACGGTGGGTATAATGCCTATTTGTAGAAGGGGATAAGAGTAAATAAACAAAGTTAGGGTGAGGATTAATAGATAACACTAGAGACATTAAGACCACGAATATGCATAGAATAGTAAGGAGTTAAGAAGAAATTGCTCACTACTTGATAACTTTGGTGTAGATATTTTCATGTTCTTCATATTCTTAAGTTTTCTGAAACGGGTCAGCTTAATAAATTTCGCTGCAAAAAGTATTATATTCGTATAAAGTTTCGTTGAATGTTCTCTACTCGGATCCTATCAGATGCATTTATATTACCCCAGATAACTGTGCAATAGCCTACTATTGGGTGAACCATAACGTTGCACAATATAAGTTTTGCTCCAGGTGTGATGCTGTTGTAAGGGAAATGTTTCGTTGAGTGAAGAGCACATTACTTATGCAGTGAGTTGATGGTGTATCCATGACTTCTGTTTTATCCTCACGTGTAAAGGAGCTGGCGAACTGACAGCTGAACTGACGGTAGCTTTGTAATGAGTCGTCGTATAGGTTCCTTTTGTCCATGAACAGTCTAGAAGGGTTGTTTCTAGAGCTTCTTCTCCGAGATTTCATTAGTTTCACTAATGCCTCTGTATAACTAGTTTATTGCAGAGCTCGTTTAGTTATCATGCAAAAAGTTATTATCACACGATCGCCGCAGCCAGTAGGCAGCTGAACCTTTATACTCTCAGTGTGGAGACCATAGTTCACCAGGACGTTGTCCATCGGCTTCCTTTAGGAGAGAAAAACCAACTCTAAATCACATCTCTCAGCTTCTGAACGAAGGATCCTTCAGTATATCTTCCTCCCGTCTCGAAGTGGATGGACAGTGTTGAAGCCACCTTAAGTCCATCCCCACTCCTAGAATCTCGCTATCCAACATGGATCACATGCCTCGCTCACAGATGTTCTACAAGCATGGTATAAGATGGAAGACCGCATGGGAAGCTCAGTCCGCATATGAGGTTAAGCCAAGACCCACCAGTAAAGAAGAGAGACGGCAATTCCCAAGACTTCTGGATTCAGTGGTTTTCACACGGACAAATCAGGTTATTCGAGAACTGAAATTTCTGCCAGTAAAGTCCTCCCAAAAAATGAAAATGAAGGGGGGGAAATCAGAGCTATACCAGTCATCTGAGGACTGGTTATTTTAGACCTAACCACGTAAGTGGTCCCCTCACAGAAATATGCAACCATTCCTTCAATCCCATCATGCACACTCTAACATGCATGTACAGCAACGTTAGAATAACTAAGAAGGAAAGTGGCAGAGACGAGGATGCACGGCGACCACTTGCGCACTGAAACCATATTTGCAACAGAATCCTGGCTCTCGCTGGACATTTCTGACGGACGGATGTCGCTGGAACGGAGAGATCAGAGCAGGAGATGGAGTAGCTTTCTATTTAGGCTTCCTTTTAATGGCAAGTGGTCAGTGACACGACTCTCTTCCAGCTCCCAGAATGTTCATAGTGATACTTCACTCTCCGTCGCATCAAATACCTACTCGGCGTCGCATATCGGCTCCCACTAGCTCCCCTGTCCATGAGGAAATCGTCATTTAGGTAATCTTGGTGACTTTCTCTGCAGATTACTAATTTGTAATCATCTCCAGTAACTTCAACACTCCATCCACTACTCAGAAGCTAAAGAGCGCAATTAAGACTCGTGGTCTCTCAGAGATAGTGGGTGATGCCATACGTTGAAGCCTAACACAAATGCATCACTCCTGGATTACGTCTGACGAACGATGATATCATTCTGAACATATGTATCTAACCGCCTCATGATCTCAGTGATCATGCAGTAATATTTAGCTCCATGATAACTAGGGAGATTCTGCAACCAGAGATACCCAACACCTTCACTTTCTACAGAAAGGTCAACTATGGTCTGTAGACTGGACTCGTTTGACAATAGATGGACACGGTACATGGGTGAAGGGAATAATTCTTGGAGCAACCAACCAGTTTGCCAGAGGTAACACACCGACCATCAGTGAGAACCTCATGGCTGAAGCGCAGGACAGGGGGGATTTGTTCGGAGTAAAAATAAGGCTTGGTTTAAGTGGCGTTCATCACTCAAGGAGTCCGACTTCTTGAACTACAAAAGAATTCACAACCACTCCAACGTAAGAGACCCTAGAGACAGATTTAGCTATTAGAAAAACCTGGCGGGGAGGTCTCAAAGTAACTCCTACAACCTGTACTGCTTCATGCGAAAAAGTAAACCCACCAGCAAAGGAACCACAAGTTCCAATGGAGATTTACTAAGCAGTCTAGAGATAAACTTTTGTGCATTGTGGAATGGATTATTGTTTTTAAGGTAAGTTTTTAATAAAAGGTTAACACACAAAGCATATTGTTAGAGAGAATGATAGCTAGTCAGCGGTAAATAACCTCGTTCTGGTAAGTAGTAAATCGAATTCACCATAATGAAATCAAACCATTCACGCTATTTTGATTGAATTTATTTTCCATGTTTTGTAAAGTATATCAGCGTTCACTGCGCACAAATCTGATACGTTTGTGACCTTTACAAGTTAGACGTCATGACAGCTAGTGACTTCAAGATAAAACGATAAGATAGCAACAAGACTGATACTTGGTGAAAAGTACCATAAGAAAGCCAACTACAAAGAACCAATCCAATGATCGAAATAAGCATATGATAATACAGAGGTGTACAAGTACAACTAAACACTGAAAAATATATCGAAGTAGAACTTTCAACACACCAAGATGATTATGCAGTCGGGAGTAACTCTCATCAAAACTAATGCAAACTTGAATGTTGCAAAGAACAAAGAGTAATAGTAGCCATAGTTCCTACGTATGATATGCTGTAAACAAAGGAAGTTATTGAGGTACACATCAAAGATACGTGGTTGGATTCAGCTTATTTTTCTCAACGTTTTTTATGATTGATTTTATTCAGCTATCATAGTTGTCGACATCAAATCAAGTGTTTGTAAAGTACAGTCCATGATGAGAAATATCTCACCGCGGTTCCCTACGGAAACCGAGACATTCAGACAACATAACGTCATGTGTTCGATACCACGATTGCTGTCAGGATTGCGATCATGAAAGTTGTACGAAATATACTACTGACTGATATGGGTAGTTGTAGACCACTCACAACCATCAGCAGTGTTCAATAACCAGATCAAGGTGATGTTTCAAAACAGACTGTGTGTCTTGCAGGCACCTGATTCAATCCTAGGTATGGCCAGTTTGCTCATGTAGCTAGTCGTAATTCGAGTAGTTTAACCAATTCGCTTATCTGAACTAAATAAAGTTGATTACACCAATGATAAGCTCAACCCCAAATGAACGAAACAGCCGATTTTGATATGACTAGCTAGCACTGCAGATCGATGTGAAGGGTCTAGAACTACTCAAATCAGTCGGTAGTACATCTCTTACGACTTTATTAATTGTCAGTTTTGCTGTAAGAAAGGATAAGGAGTTGGACATTCAGATGTGATAACGAACATTCATTCTGGTTATCATGTTGTAGTTACATCTCAATAAAAATGAACACTTTAGCAAATAAGCAGTTAGTTTTTATTTTAAAATTATACAAAAGTGATAATTCACTCTGGATAATAATAATAATAAGTTAGCAAGTTCAAATAGTACGAAAATCTAGACAGAAATAAAATATTCATCAATTTTTAAATATGTCTAAAGTAACACTCATCAACGTGAGTCGATATCACGATATAGAATAAAAATGGTTAAGACCAAATTATAAATATTTGAGTAAAACGCACATAATAAAAAGTTTTTAGAAACAATGGAATAAAAATTGGAAAGATTTTTATATTTTGATAATTATTCTAAGAATAAAAGACAATCATAATAAATAGGAGTTAAGGATATAAAAATCTAGTGAGTAGGAAAATATCAACCAATATAGTAGGTTAAGGAAGCATAAATAGGGAATAATTATTTATCTAAGATACCTAGATGAAAAAGATGCCGCATTGTTGGACGTCCGTGTGGACAATTCTAGAGTGTTACAGGTCAACAACACAAGAAAATAAAAACAAATAAGTTATACACGCAGAAAGCATAATATGTAACAAATCTTAGCAAAAAACAACACTAATAATGAGTAAAAAAGCATACAATAAGTATAATAAAACGAAAATAGTTTATACTCAGTTCAAAGGTAATATCCATCACAAATTGACATTAATTAGGGAACTATTGAAAACCTGTCAAGACTAGAGAGCCATTTCGACGTATTTTGGAACTCCTCAACAGTGGGGACATGAACTCACCAGGGAACACGTGCTGAACACCTTATCATTCCAACCAATAGTTTGGAATCCGATGATTTATACTATTCTTCTGTCGATACACGATACACAGCAATCAACATTTTATGGAACTTGCGAGTATTTTTCTCCAACACCTGCCTTAGTTGAACCCCCATAGGTCACGGCTTCTTACTACAACTTAGGTAAATCAATGTCCAAGTTACTAAGCATTGAGCAGTGGACAATGATTCAAATGGTAGAGACTAAGTGATGATTACCATCTTGAAATTAGTCAATCTTCAAAAACTACCAAGCTTAATTAACATTTTATCAGTCTCGTGAAAGGATGAAGATTTTGGAGTGGAGATAACAGTAATCAGATTTCAGACAATTAAAGATTCCCGTCTCCTTAAAAGTTAAACACCAACAAGGAGAATAACTTCTTGTCAGGTACCATGGTTATAAAATCGAATTTGCTAACAAATTAATCGCCGAAATATGTGGTGAATGTCACAATAACGCCTATGTATAGCAACGGGAAATTACAAGTATCGTGATAACAACTGAAACCCGTTGCACAAGAGGTGGTTATCAAGCCATAGTGGATAATGGGTTGGTGTTTGAAGCGATAGGTACTGGGTTCGAGTCTCAGCGGGAACAAAAACCAGTACGATGCAGGTACATCCAGCTGATAAGTCCCAAATGAGACGAAACGCGTGTCCCGGGTTACTCTGCTAGTGACCAACATGGACATAACTATAGATAAAAAATTCAACAGATTTTTTTAAACATTATAACTGAGCTACGAGGTTCGACTGCAGACCAGATTTTGATTTCACTCTAATCACTATGGGTTTTGCCCAACTACAATGTGAATTCGTGATGTATTACTACCGCTTGATCTTATTCACACTGGCCGTCTGGTCAGAACTTCTCATCCAAATCCAAATCTAACTGAATCAGAGAGGGGGAGCATCATATTGATTATCATTTTGACTATCTGAGATAGCCGTGGATTGGCAGACTAGTATTTATAATGGGTGAAGATCGAAGGTGAAATGAGAATTTGGGGCAAAACCCTTCGGTGACTGAAGTGAACTGAAAAATCTGGTCAGCAGTCGGACCTCATAGCTCAGTTAGTGGGGAACCGGGGCAGTAACCAAGTGGTCGCTGGTTCGAATCCGGCTATCATCCATGCATCCCAATCAATATAGGACCAGGCATTAACTGCATGACAATCCCAGCTGCCACACTTCATATCAGTACATCAAGTAAAAGGGCAGTGAAGTTCAAGACGAAGAAAAGAAAATTCAGTCAAAAGAAATACAAAGTAAGAAAGAAAAGGAAGAATGAGAAAGTGGTGAGATTCGACATAGCGTCGTTAAGATGAGGGTAATGTGTGTATACATCTGAGCCAATGACATCGGTTCTGAGCCATATCACCTAGAATCTCCAACCACTGGTTTCGCCTGTCCCGCAGACCCCAACCACCCAGTCTGATAGCCCCACATGGCTCAAACCAACAGTCAAGGACGGCATACATTGATCCCATGTTTCAGTATGGTCACCTCGAGCCTTCACCCAACCTGAACCTACTTCGGCCAACATTGTGTGACGAGGCAATCCACGACTAGGCATACGTAACACATGTCCCAGTCAGTCATCTCAGTCGATGAAGGTTCACAACCGTGTCAACTGATTTATCTCTTCTCCCTAAAACCCTACACCTGACTTCTGCGTTACTCACGTGGTGATACCACGGAATACGGTCTATACTACGAAGGTAATGGTGGTCAAACACCTGAAGCCTCATCCCTTCCACCTTCAGTGGCCTTTTTCACATCCATACAGTAGAACAGAGCGGAGTGCTGCGCAGTACACTTGACCCTTAATAGACAATTGAATATTACGGCGGCCCCATACGTGGTGTAAGTTGGCGAAAGCCAACCGAGCCTTTTGTATTCGTGCAGATATTTCATCAGCCACTGGGCCATAACCGGTCGCGGTTCAAATTTGCATTTCACCCTTAATCATCACCCAGCATAATTATCATAACGCTTATTATTTTAGTCGTTTCACATTTTAACTATCCACTATCCACTCCATTTCTGCTCTTATAGTAAATTCACCCACTAAGACGAAGGTACACCCAACTGACGAGTCCCAAGTACGACGAAACGTGCATCCTGGATTCCTCTGCTAGCCACAATCAAGTGAATCACCGTAATAAAGAATCCAATTGTAATTATAATTTCATACCCATTGTAAAATGCATTCGCCGCAAATTTCGACTATTATTATGTTAACGAAATTGATTTTATAACTGTAGAATCTGATGAAAAGTTATTTAGAAGAATATTCTTTGTTGATATTTAGCTCTTAGTAATCAGATCGCCTACTAACCTTTACTAATTATTTGTTAACTGAGGATCAGATTACAATTATTAAACCTTATTCACATCTTCGTGTATAAGCGACTTTTTAATCTCTTCATCCTAGTTTTTGAATCTGGATGTTATTGCATAATATATTCAGTCAGTTGAACAAATGTTCAGCCTTCCGGTGTTTGAATAATATAATTCGAAAAGTATCTACAGAATAAAATGACGTCTCTATTTCTCAGGACCTTCATCAGCTGCATAAAAATGTAAATAAAGATAAGTTTTGAGTATATAATGTCGGCAATAGAGTTTAGGTATACTTTAGTTTGCTAAGACCTAATTTACATATTGAAGAAGAAACAATGGTCAATCCTCTCACTACCTTGGTGATAAATGATTTCACACGTCAAAAACTTCCTACATCTATTCATTGGTCACGGGAGTGCAACCAATTTCATGTTGTCTAGTCCTGAGTGCAGACTGAATTCTATCGATCATATTTGCAATGTGGCAACCAAGCTAGAAAGCTCAGCATCGTGGTGCACATTAGTAGATGTTAGTTTGTTGGAGTCATATGACTATGGACAATAAATTATGCCTGAAATGTAATCCAGTAAACAAAAGTGTTACACTGTGTGATAAATCGAATAAATCAATAAAAATGGAAGAGAAATTTTCCCTTTCCATGAACTCATTCTCTTTGCCGAGTATGTTTACAAAACCACGGGCCAATTTGTAAAACGCCCTTGTAAAGACTATCTAGCTTGAATGACAAGAATGGCATTGCAACTTCAACCCAGTAATAAGATACTCATAACCTTTTGACAAGTCCTTCAACTCATTGTATACAAATTGCGATCAAGTCACTTGAAGGGAGTGAGGTTAAGAAATTTGGGCATGGCTCACGCATTGCCAGTTCAAAAGTTATTGCGTATTCAAGAAACGTTTGTACAACCTCTTTCTTTGCCATCGTCATTGCAGAGGATCGAAGACTGTATCTATATTTTGTTTTGAAACCAGTTCTTTGTTTCAATATTTCAAATAATCATATTACGTAACTTCCCATCGTCATGCAAATTATTTTGATCACTGATTCTATATAGTTATTTACTTTTTAATATAATCGTGGATATACAGTTAGGAAATGAGTATGGTTAAAATAAACCTTTTACTTCACTGTAATCCTCTACCCTCTCTTCTTACTACTTATCGTTATCCTGCTTAAACATGTTTTGACAACTGTACTTGTTATTGGAGTCGATTTGCATGCGTAGATTATGTAACAAAATATAAAGATATCAAAAACTTCTTTTATCCATTCCAAAACATTCATATATCTTTATCATAAATCACCGATTCTATGTACCTGATACCTAGAATTCTAATCCTCATTCCCGCCTTAGTACTCGAACTATTAATGCAAGAAATAACATGTATAATAACATCCACGCCATAGATTTTACGAATGTCCTGAAAGAAGTTGAACGCAAAGTCATATAATCCCAGCATGTTTAGAAAATCGAAAACAAGATTTTTCTGAACGTTTCACTGTGTATGCCACAGCTTCTTCAACAGAATATTCGGATTTTTATTTAACATCAAAATATATACTGTCAAAAGGTACATGTAGAAACTTCTATCTTTATGTAATTGGTTAGCTGTTTTGTTGTTCAGACTGATTGTTTCCAGTTAGTCATCATGAATTCATACAGCCTTTGTCATCTATCATCGAAGAACGATTCAATAATCAAAGTGCATGTATATGTGTTAACTTTTTATGTAGAATGTCATTTCGTTGTTTATCATATAAAAATACATCCACAATAATTGATGCATGTTGTTTTTGGTTATTTTAAAGTGCAAATTTAAATGGTGACCTTTTCTTAAAGTTTTTATCTAATTAGAGTCTGCCATATAGGTGACAAGTCAATACATTCCTTTCTGTTTAAAGCTTCCGTTGATGTTAGAATATGTAAGGCTTCTGATGTCAATCTCTATTTATATGTACAGAAACCCTTCCCTAGTATGTCAACATTGTCAAAATCGATTTTCTGCCCACTTTCAATGGCGTGCATTGCTATTGCTGACCTCTTTTCCAAATTTTTCAATTCCACTTCATTCTTTGCTGGGTGTTTACTGCATAATCTATGTTCATTCACTCTAACTTTCAGCTGCCTACGACTTTCACCAATATAATTGGCTTCATATTCTGTACATTTTATCTTATACACACAGTTGCTTTGTGTCATCTTTCACTTTGACTAATATTCTTTCCAAAGAATTTGAAGGTTTAAAATATACCTTAATACCATGCTTTGCACAAACTCTTTGCATTTGTTCTGAAATACCTTTCCTGTATGGAATTGTCATTGTTGATGTCCATGATTTCTCCTCTCCCTTACTTTTCTTGTCATTCTTCTTAATAATATTGTTCAGAAAATGTATTGGATAGTCATTCTCTATCAATACTTGTTTCATTTTAGAAATTTCGTTCTCTTTATCCTCCGTATGCGTCACAATATTTTTAGCCCTATTTAATAGGTTCAAAGCTACTGTAGTTTTGACATTCATTGGATGGTCAGATTGAAAATTTAGATACTTATCAGAATGTGTAGGTTTTCTGTAAATTTTAATTTTAAATTCTCCTTCAGGGTTTCTTTAAACAAGACAGTCTAAGAAATTCAACGTTTCTGCACTCGATTCGGTTTCGTTTGTAAATTTTATGGAACTTGATATGGAGTTTAGTTGTTGTAAAAAATTTTTGAGTTCTGTTTTCTTGATGATCATAAAGGTATCATCTACATATCTGTACCATAGCTTTAGTTGACAATGAAAACTATTTAAAGCTCTTTCTTCGAATGCTTTCATATATAAACTGGCTATAATCGAGGATACTGGTGAGCCCATCACAACACCATTAGCTTGACGGTATAACTTGTCTCTAAATGTAAAACAAGTTGACTCTAAACATAGTCTTAAGCATTTCATAATGTCTTCTGATAATAAAGGACATCCACTTAGTGTAATTTGAGCGAACAAAAACCATATTACATTTCCCAGTTTTGGTTTTAACTGTCTGGGTAAATTGCATGTTTCGGCTATCATTTTGTTCAATGTGCTAGAGATTTTATTTGTTGGTATTGGTTCATATGGACCTGAGCTAATATGTTCCAATGCCTTTTTATCGTAATCTTCACTGTTGTTTAATATAACTGTCACATTGCCTTCGTCAGCTTTAGTTATCACTATTGGTTTGTCCGATTTCAAAGCTTTTAGAGCATAACTTTCTTGCTTTGTGAGGTTTGATATACCAGGCTTCTGATTCGAGATGATACTTCCGATTTTTTGTCGTACCATATCTGCTTCTTCTTTCGGTAACAGTGTTATAACTGGTTCTATGATGGGAGCTAGCTCTATTGCTTTCAAAGGTCTTCTCGTTAGATTAAAATTCAATCCCTTCCTAAGTAGTGTCATTTCATTATCATTTAGTTGTCTATTTGATAAATTGTATACCAATTTCGAATCTGTTATGTTCTTTTCTTTACTTGATTTCATTTTGTTTGGATTTAGTAGGCGGTCGAATTTTCTCATGTGTCTCTGTTTAACATTTTGAAAATAGGTCAATTCTTTATTCAAACATAACGATTTAATTGCACTAAGCTGATTTTGAGGAACGAGCATGTTTAGACCATCTTCAATGTTTTTAATTCGATTTCGATATTGTTCACTTCGTATAAATATTCCAGAATATTCGCCTCGAGCTATGCAAGCAGCCAAGGTTGCATCTCGAAGCTTCCTACGCGAGCGAATACACAAATGTACTTCAAGAAGCTGTGGCATACACAGTGAAACGTTCAGAAAAATCTTGTTTTCGATTTTCTAAACATGCTGGGATTATATAGAAACTTACCTATATGATGAAGTGATATGTTGACTTACACTTGTTGATTGGTTAGTTATTTATAAAGGTTGTATTGCAGCCGGCGAAAATCGTATAGAATGAATGACATTATTGTATTCTAGCAATGCTTTTTCACTGCTTTATTAGATTTCATTAAAGCGGACTAATTTATAACTCTTTATTTGTATTTAATTAGGTATTAGGATAATTATTAGTTGAGTTAAACAACATGAAATCCTCAAGTAAGTTTCCTATTTGATCAGCAAGTAGTTTGGAGTGAATTTAACGAGATAAAAATCAAGTAGAAAAAGTACTCTAGTAGTATTTTAAAAGTCTAAATTAATAAAACATTAAATAAACAGCTGTTCAACACACTTAATACTACACTGTCAACATTTTATGTGTTCTGTGTGTTTCTACTTCACTTCATTTCTCTTTTATTCGACAATTCCTTTTTTTTAAACCTGTGTATTATGTCTCCAATAGTACTAGTATTTTGTCGCATTATATGTCTTCAGTCATTGGAGATGTTAGAATTAAATCATCACCGAACCTATTATTATTATCATCATTATCTCTGCTTCCTCTCTAGTTTGTTTCCTATGGTCAGAATGATACTTCTTTCAACCGCATGCATTGAGGTAAGTATAGAATTTGTTGAGTCCGATAAAGTGAAATTTCGTATTAGATTAGTCTAGTTGATGTAGCACTCAGTGACAAAGTATTATTTACTGGGTTACGCTTCCAAAACGATTTATTTCTCATAATCACATAAGTCTATGATATAATTACACATGAGTTGATAATTTTTACCAGTTTCAGGTTAGTATTCATCAAGGACTGACATCAGTTGGAGAAATCTTGGAGCACTGGACAGCTGCCTCGTACTAGTGTGGGACTCCTAAACAGTGCGCACCCCTGACTCCATCACAGATCGAGCCGAGGACCTACACGTTCCGCAGCTAGCATGTTACCATCGAGCCAATGGGTCGGTATCCAGTGGTCTATAGTTCCCACTTCCGAAATTCGAATTAGAAGTCATGACTAGTGGGGTCAACCAAGTCAAACATGAGGACACTTACTCAACGACAGCATTGGATGGAGGTCGCGCTATATCATCGACCGACATAAGTAGGAAATATGGACTATCGGATTCCGACGCAGTGGCTCAACGGTAATGTGCTGGCCACAGAACCTGAAGGTCCTGGAGTCGTGGGTGCGCACTGCTAAGGAGTTCCATACTACGATGAAGCAGCTGTCTAGTGCTCCTAGGTTCCCCATATTTCTCCAACCTATGTCAGTCCATGATGAATACCAACCAGAGGTCAATAAATCCCCACAAACCTCAAAATTGAATTTTTTTTTCTTAATTCTACCTGAGATTTGTTAAATGAAACAGTCGCTTGTTGTTTCTCCTTCAGACAAACTTTCATTGGTTTTGTTATTGGCAGTATGTGAAAAACATCCAGATATATGAAGCTTCAAGGTCCACATTTTTTTTAATACTTATTGTAACGTTAGTTTAACGTACTGTTGTATGTCAGATAAATCTCATGTTTTCATTCGAATTTCTACGCTTAACTCAAGTTTTTTGTTTTGAATATTTCGTACAAAATTTACAAGGATTATCCTTTTGGCCTGTGGACGTATTCGTTCCAACAAATTTAAATTATTAGAGGTGGAATACATTGAAAACCACTAGATACATACTGAATGAAATCTTGAATAAAGTGGTCAACAAAAGAAGAGCGATTTAAACATTTTGAAGGTAGTTTCTCGATCCTATGCTATATAATTATTTGGTTGAGGTATCAGCAATTAAGATAAATCTATTGGTACAACACTGAATTTATCAGTAAAAATATAGTTGACGTGTGCTGTGCGAAATATTAGTAATTGGTATAACTCGAAAAATCAAAATGCACTCGAGCAAACATATGTACATTCATGCAGTAGACAATGAGCCACACTTATTGTGTGGTGACTAATGGTAATATCTGACTATCTAGACGTTGGTAGATGAAGCAGGGTTCAAACTTAACATTCATTGGTTGGAAGCCAAGTGAGTCACAGCTTCACTATTGATATATAACTGGATATTGATGTTACCATAAATACACCTTCACAAGAAGTAAAGTATTCAGACACAAACGATTTCACCCAGTAAGCCATTTAAAGTTATACAGTACAATAAAGTATAATAATAATGATTCCAACACATCAAATAACTTATGAATAGGCTAACAACATAGACAAATGATTACACTGTCAAAAAACCCATTAATAAAAGTCATTATTAAGAGTAAATAACCTGATGAATGTGTAGAATACTCTGATTACTTTTTAGAAAGTGCACCATTATTATATCTGCTATGAAACCAGTTGTACAAGAAACGTTTCATCTAAGAGATCATGTATAGAAAACTTAATTTACACCTTTCTTAATCATTTAATTGACTTACTGATTAATAGCATTATCGTATGAAATCACTAAGTATTGTATTTGAGAGGGATTTTACTGATCACTCCATGGTAAATGTATCTGCTTAGCATTCAACTTATCCTCATAGGATGTATTAGTTTTGGAAACCCTTCAACAGATGGTCAGCTTTATACAAACTCACATACACATGACGTTTTTAAATTAAAAGGCAATAAATGCAATAAACTTAACTATGTATGGGAACTATATCTATTTTATGCTAGCTATTGTGATACCATTTAACTAATTGACTAAACCTCAGCATTAATGGAATGAAGTTACTATTTACAACTCAAAGGTTCGTAGTTCACTGCTAAAATCAACGCATCATATCTGCATAATACTACAATACAGGCTCGTTTGTAATTTGAACAGTGATAGTAAATAAAATCTATGCATCAAAAGAAGTTACACCTACCCATGGATGATCCATAGAACCCATATTTGTCAAAATCTAAAACAGTTGAATAAACAGTAACATACTTATGAACTTTTACACAAAAAGTAAGCGATAAACAATACCAAATAGCTGCAATACGATCATATCAATACACCAAATTCATTGAGTAGGCATTATACAGTACCCACGATCCGTACTGATCATACTAAACAATCTTCATTATGAGCACAGATATAAAAAGCAAAGATGATCATTCTGCCAAAAAAAAGTTTTAGTTGTGGATATACTATCATATGATTCATGATGATGACGGTGAATGAGGCATTCTAGATGCGATTCTAGACTAAACATATTTGATGTCATCAAAATTGTTGGTGATGGATGGATGAGCCATAATACACACAGATTGGTCAATAGTTACTGAGCGATACGCCTGTAAATGTTTAATCAAAATCAATCGGTCAATACTGTAATGTGATCCTTGTAGTGTTTAGTGTTGGAATTAAATCGACAGAAAACCCTATACTATACTGTACTATATATACTATATACTCAGTAGTTATTAGCAAGGTAAATATCTGAAACTTAGAGAGAATTTATTCATGTTGTCTCAAGGACTCGAATATGTATCACTAAATGCGGAAATCGAAGAAAATACAACTTTTTACTGCACCACTGAAGTATGTACGTCCAACCCTACAAAAAAATATAAAATTCCTTAGCTTTGGCTTTGTATTTATGCCTTGCTGATAAGCACCAACAAGTATGCATTCTTGCAAACCGCTTCCTTTCAAGAGTATCAAAATCATATCGAATAACACTTAACATTAGTTGTGATGAAGCCTATAAGAATGTTTAAAGTTCACTTTTTAAGCTCTTAAGACAAAAGAATGAGACACACCTTTCACAAACTAAACTGCCAAGTTAAACAATATCATAGGTTATTAATATATCCGTTTTTTAGCAGTCGAAACAAAAAATCTTTCCTAAACGACAGTATTTAATAAGGATATTATAAACTACAGAACATGACGTTATCGATTCACTTCTTACTAAGCACCCACATTATTTTGTACAAAGCAATCAAATGTTGTCTACCGAGTACAAATACTTAAACGTTTGATTGTTGAAAAATATATAAAAACAAAAGAGGATCAAGGAGATACATTTTACCAAACTGGTTGACCTAAAGTTCAAAATCTTAGAACTATTGAAGCACATAGACATATTGGTTAGCTTTACACACTCTTGAATACTAAGCAAACATATTGTCAAGCACAATCACGGCAAAATATAACAAATTAATGAAGATCGTAGAATATAGAAAGCGTAGACAACGGTTTAATATGATATAGTTCCATGCTTCCTACTGTTTTAGTTGATTCACCAGATGTTACACGCAGTGAAACAGTATTGTTTGCAGGATAACATAGAACTTAAAGATAATTCAAATTATGAGCTGTCTAAATCCATAGCAATGATACTAAGTCTAAATAAAAATCTCCTTAAATCTAGACTCGCTAACTTTTACGAATGGAAGCATAGATTACATAGTGTACACTTTGATAACAGTCCAGACAATGGTCAGTTTTGATGTAAATTGCTAGTATATTAATAGACTGATTGAAATGAGTCTGGAGGCAGACAAAAATGAGCTCAACGATGACCATGAGCTTACGCTTCGAACTAGGTTACCAGATGTGATCACGTTAGGAGAAGAGTTATACTTGACTACTAAGGTCTTTAAGTTTTAAAATAAAGAACACAAAGAAACAGCATGAGTCACCATAGGATCGCCAATATCTGCTATAGAAGATACACTTATGGATAGTTGGGAACGAATGACCCACGAAACATTTATTCCTATTTCAAAAATGTGGTTAAGATACATACATTGCACACTTAAAACAATGAAACCGGAGTACATAGATCGATTCGTTACACATATAAATTCAGTGAATGCTATTCAATTTATTTATGAATTAGAAAGTGGTGAAGCGGATCTAGATATACGAAAATGTAGAATAAAACGAAAGCAAGATAGGAGTTTAGACACTATTTTCTATTTTAAAAAACAACATACCATTCGAGTCGATACTTACATTTTAGATCATGCAGTCAATTTAAATGACGGATAGATTGTTCAACTTCTCCTTCAGAAACTTGGCCTAGCAGCAATGGGTGTCTACTAGGACTATATATGACTTCAGAACGTGCGTCAATGCACATTTAATGAAATAATTAAATAACAGAGTCAATATTTTAGTGATCACTCATCCTAATTTTCTACTTTCCCCCAAGGTTATTAACTGATTAGAATTTCAACTTATTCGTTATCTGATTGCGATGCGCGAATAGTTTGTTCTTCTCTGCTTTTATACACATAAGTAAACGACTGAAACATTCACAATGAGTGACTATTGAGATTATATAAGCTCCTGAATGACTTTGTTATTATCTACGACTTCATATACTCAAACTGCAATCCTAGTACATGCCAATGTACTAGGCCATGAGCCATATTTGTTGCATGAAGATTTGTGCTAAAATTCGGTCTCCTAGGCTAATGCTGCTGGAGCAGGGTTCGAACTCGGAACCCATTGCCCGTAAGTCAAGATCCTAAGTCAAAGAGTAGATTTTCATCAACAAAATGATATTAAAATGTTTATACTGAATGACTTCTATGTGAAATTGTTAAGTGCGATGAGTGATTACCGAAAATATATACCTATTTAAACTGTACCTTGCAGTTATTATAATGGTGACGTAAAGACTGAGTTACACTACACCTTTTTGTTACTTGGATCAATAACTAGCAGAACAGTAATTAGAAAAACACACGTGTGACCTAAATTAAAACCTTCTATCAAATATCTAATAAACATCTGTTCCTCAATGCAACAGTTCGTAAGTGGTTGTAAAGATCCTCTTTCCCTTGGCTCCCAATTACCTAAACATCCCTTGACTAATAATGTAAATGCTATGGTTTGAAGAAGTCTATGTAGTGAAACCATGAAGAGATATTTTAAAGCAAAGCCGTTTATGAAGAGAGCTGTAAACTTAAGGACACCGTGCAACTTAGGAAAGAATTTCAAGTAGTAGTTCATTTATCTCGACCACTTCGTGTTACTCAAGTATTGGGAAAGAATGGATTGAATAGCATTTTCCCTTTTGTAGTCTTTTGTCCCAATTAATCATTCCTGCTTTTCCCCAAATCAAGATAGTGGGTAGAAAAAGAGTGGTAGTAAAGCAAAGTGTATGAAAATAGGAACTATAAAAATAACTGCTGGTGAAAATGTTCAAGCTTTAGAGGATGTCAAAGAGTGAATACATCTGGGCCATTGTGAAAGATTTTCAGCCTTGTCACAACGGGTCTCCTACCGTTGACTCCAAATATCATGGGGATCCCAAACGAAGTAGTCTACACCTCCCTATACGTCTCAGACTAAAAACAGTGAACTGGTGACACGTCTTGGTAGGCCAACTCTGAGTCTTCTTCCAAATGAGACTTATTTCAGCTAACATTGTACATCGAGGTGGGTGGTAGCTTGACATATCCAGGTCGCTTAGGTCGGCCAAAGTTCACAACCTCATCAACCGAATTATCTTCTTTGCCTAATACACTTCACATGGCATTGACATTGCTCACAAGGTAATCTCACATTGTCTGAGCAAGACATTTAATCTATTCATATTTACTACCTTCAACGGCACTGTCTCACAGCTGTACAATAAGGATAGAGAGGAGTGGAGTGCAGTATACTCGTCCTTTGGTAGATAGTCAGATATTTCTCCCATCCACACCAAGGATGACGCAAGTTGGCGAATGCTAATCGCATCTTCTGCATCCGAGCTGAAAGTTCGTCCACAACCACAGAGTTCGATCTGATGCAACTCACCAAGTGAGTGAAGTAGTCGACACATTCCACCACTTCACTCCCTATCATTAAACTAGGAGTACTTGCAGCAGACTAGTCATGGAGCATCATCCTACATTTAGGTGTAAACGCATATCAAACGTACTCAGATTTCTGCTCAATACGTTCACAAGACCCTGCATTTTGTCAGCATCCTCACCCACCAGGACAATATCGTCTGCATGCCTCAGGTCAACCAGATGACCTCCAGGGAGCAGGTCACTCCATGTGAAATCAGAGGTGGGCTGGGTTATGTCTATTAGTAAGTCTATAAGGCAATTAAATAAGAACTGTGTAAGTGGTCATCCTCGGCGAACACTAGTTGTTGTCAATTCTGAAGACAACTCTTTATAAGCCCTTATGCCGATATGTGAGTCAGAGTAGAGAGCTTTATTCAGCGTTATATACCTTCTCAGTACTCCCTTCATAGTTAAACACTGCCATAATGCCTCATGATCGACAGAGTCGAATGCCGTCTTTAGGTCAAAAAATATGGCAAGTGTCGGTTGTTTGTCGGTAAGTATGCCTGTCTTCTAAGACTTAATGGAGGGTGAAAACATAGTCGATTCATCTTCGATTAGGTCTGAAACCTGTCTGCTTCCCTCGAGTTTATCTTCAAGCCCTAATTAAGCATCGGATAATTATGCACCCAAGGATTTTGGATATGATGTTAGTCAAACTGATTCCTCTATGGTAGTCACAATAAGACTTCTATCCCGTCTTAAAAGCCTGAACGATCAGTAAAGCGAACTAGTCTGACAGGACCAATTCTGATTCCCATACACGAGCTGTTATCTCCGTTACTCTCAGTAAGTACACCATAACGATGATGAGTCTTTTATTCTTCCTTTACCAGGTACAGAAGTAGATTAAAGTGGGCTAGGTCAAGGAGTTGATCAGTTCTGTAACTGTCAATAGACATATGGTTACAATATCGTTACGATCATCCTCTACAAATAGATGTTCAACCCCTAAATAGAGTAAACAATGGACTGTTTAAAGGTTTGATGTCATGAATACACACAGACGAAAAATGATATCTAAAAATATTGTTTAGAACCTTCACTAATAAATGATAAAAGAAGTGAAATAAATGAAAGACTATATGCATATATACTAATACGGTAATAATGATAGATGTACTAACTCGTTTCATTTTCTTATGATCTAATGCGGTACCAATCATAACAGCACTACGACATGATCGAGATGCAAGTATATTCCTCAAACGAGATGGTCGGCATCTTTTAGTCTGAAATAGGATAAAACAAGTAATTAAGGAAAATCAAAAGCATTGACAACTAACTGACCAATCAAAATGGTCGAGTCAGAATGCCTATTGGACTTAAAGAACTAAGCAACCGACATTTATTGTAGTGCACACCAGCTTACTTATTGAGCATTATGACAACACACTGTTCAAATATCAGAACGAAATAAAAACAATGGAATTGAAAAAGTCCAGTCTGTGCACGTTTATTTCGAATACATTGCACAGAGAAAGAGAAACGAGCAAACGGCACACTAGCTTACACAAAAGTAATAAACGCCGACCAATAAATAGTTAACTGAACAGGTTATGTATTCGACATGCAAAAAATTTCATCAGTTATCAGAATGAAACAAGAATATGTGTGATAACATTGTGCTATTACACTTTCCCCAATACTGCACAAAACTCAAGTCATAAAGCTTTACTAATCTTGTTCAGTGGAATCGACGTTCATGTAAATGTGCACTTCTGAAGACACCGAAAATATTGATAGGTAGCAACGAAAAGGCAGCCAATACAGGAATGGTTTTCAGACCATGATTTATGGTATGTACTGACATGATAACCTGATTGGACAAATTCGAAGTCATATAACTAATCGGATTGGTTCATTTATGCCTTCATTTTTTGAGAGTTTTGTAAATATATACATACCATGTATTTGTCTAATAAAGTTGTTGTTGTTCTGAAGTCACAGGCCGTCTTTTGTCTTCTGGTTTCCGCAACTCAGTGAAATATAGGGTGTAGGGGAGAACAGTCGTATTACTCGTATCCAGTCTAAGTATCTCGTTGCGTTATTATCCCGTTCGCGTATTATTAGAACCCACGTACTAACCCCAACTCAGACACACATCTACGTAAATCACTATGGAAAAAAACTACAAAGTAAATTAGATGCGCGAAGATAATAAACTCTACAAATACTAGTGGCTTGCTGGATTAAGCATTCAATTTTTAAGCAACAGACCCCGGGTCCAAACCCCATTCCAATTACTTTGGTCAAGGCAGTCGGAAAGTACCACAAACCCTCATACACAAAATGTGGTTCGTAGCTTAGTGCATAAATCTACGTTAAATTGCTTTTCAAGTGATAAATACTAGTGCTCAAAACTAGATAAAGTTAGAACACCTAGTTGTAGACCTCTTTCAGGGATGGTATTACCTAATGTAGCTTTTCTATTTAACTTACATAGGCTCATGGAAAACAGTCTAATCTACCTTGACCTGGTACCAGAAATCTCTTTTTTCAACCGAATATATTCGAAGAAAAATACGGTACTTATCGTTGACAAAATGTATTGCGTGAACTACCAGTGAATAGAGCGAAGAAAATTTGTGGCTGGTGAAAATAAGTATTATAGTATGAAACGTGAACAGTCTGATTTTATCCATCCACATACTCAGATGATGATTCCTTGATGAATTACATTGAAGTATTCGATAACAAGATAATTCATTTCACATTTAATCTATGCATTCGTATAAAGCTTTCCGCTGAGAGTAATTAACGCCACATAGAGAACCTAATTCTCGCGTGTGTGTTGTCATTTTTTCGACAATGGATGAGTTGCCTTACCACTCATACGAATAACATTAATATCATATTCAGATTTGCATGACGTAAATACTCATTACTATTGAATTACTAACGCTATTTTCCTTTGAAAAGCCAGGGAATTTAACGTCATCCTCAAACACAAATAATCACATATACCTGGATTATGTTAAGGAAGTCAACGTGATTATCTTTTTTCGTCACTTTTTGAAACCGAATTCATCGACATGATATTTTCTTTCAGAAACTAAAGAATAATAGTGGTGATGTAACTTCTACTCATGTACAACCTCATGCAGTATAGTATGTGTAAAATTTAACTGCTCGTACCTTGAAAGGTATAGCAGATCCCATAATTTACTAAATGAATAGGTTGTAGCTTTACTCGGAGATAAGGAAGCAATAAAAAAAGATTTTGTATGGTGTATCTTGCAACTTGGTCTTACATATCCGCTAAAATCACTTTCATATAGTTTAGTAGCACTAATCCTCGATAATTATTGCCAATCATATATATATATATATCATTGAAGTTCCTTTCATCTGTTTGCATATCTTGCCACTGAATTCGAAGTATGTTGTCAGACAAAGGTCGATGAGTTCAATCAGACTTCAACATTCAAGTTTCATGCCTTCTGTAAGGCTTGTCTTCAGTGAGCAGGAGGGACATAGTTTCTTTGGCTAACTGGGGTCCGATGGAAGTGTATAGTGCTGTGACATCGTGGGATACCATTAATTTGTCGTTTTCTATGTTAATGATTTTGATCTTTTCTAAGAATCCTGTTGGTGATTTGATCGAATATCCACATGATTTGACCAGGTGTTTCAGTTTCCTCGAAAGTTCCCTTGATATGTTGTATGTGGGATTTCCCAGAGGTGAGACTATTGGTCGTAGAGGGATGTCTGGTTTGTGTAGTTTTGGTCTGCCGTAGGACCGAGAAAGGATGGGTCCATTCGACTTCAGTCTCCATTCGTCTCGCTTTGTTGTTTCTTCTGCTTTGAAGAGTTTGTTCAAGGTCTTAGTGAGCTGGTTGTTGAACTTCTGGATAGGGTTAGTTTCAAGTAGTTGATATACATTTTCGTCTTTGAGTAGTCCTTCTGCTTTCTTGATGTAGTCTTTGTCCATGACTACTGTAGTGCGTTCTTCTGCTGGAAGTATAACAATATCTTTCCAATTTTTCAGCCTTTTTAATGTGAAGCGTGTTACGCTCGCATGAGTTTGAAATGGTGGAGAATATTTGTAGCTCAGGTGGATGATCTTAGTTGTATTGTATATATAGGGATGAGTTAGTTTAAGCATTTGTTCAATGTATGATTTCTGTTCGACATTTTCTGTAGTGCTAAAGTGATGGTACTGGCTTCATCGATAGATGTTGTACTCAAATACCATTTTTAGTGTTTTAGGAACAGATGTTTTCAACTCAAGTTCATCTGTGTTTAAATTCTGCCTAGTCTAGTCTCTCCGTTGTCAGTGCTAACCATAAGAGTAAATCAGTAAATTAAAACCTACAAATGTATTTCCTAAATGATTATTACTTCTTCAAAATATGTTTAATATTCTCTGAGAAGTATGTACTGAAATCGAATAAGGAGTAGTATACACCACTGGTCTTCTGGTTTATCAGACATATATACAAAAATACTTCAATAAGGCGAACAACTTACACATGTTTCAGATAAAACACACAGCATCTCTTCAATATCTGGGAAGAAAAATGCAAACACGAAAAGAAACTAAAATCACAAGTTAATATTGCTGCTTTCTGAAATGAAAGTCTTAACTGGAGGTGGTAAAAAGGTATGCATAATCTCGTGAAAACTTTCATTAGAGTATTACGAAAAACTATGAACCATAAAAAGACTGAAAAAAGATAACCAGTGGCATTATTCAATGCGTTTGCTATGACAGTCATGAATAAAATGCAGTTGATATACCCAGTAGATTGGGAATCTACTAACTAAACGACTGTACATTCACTATGAGATATAGAAGACATATTTTTGAATCCTCAAAAGATTCAGATAGCATTTATGACTTATTGACTGGAACCCATAAAACAGTTGCCTAAAGATCCGACTGACTGATTAACTTCTCAGTGATCAATATTTACTTTCACTGAATCAGAAAGTGAACATAAAGTATTATCATAATAGACAACATCTCTGAAAGTGGAAGATATAAAAAGACCACAGGTTTCTGAACATACGTGTCTTCTCAAAATTACTCACGTATGGTGGTATCACTGTGTGAGAGATGTTGAGGTCAATAAAAAGCACTAGATGAGGAGAACAAATCAGCTGACGAGGTTGTGAACTTCGACCGGTTGGGGTGGCTTCGACATATGTTGCACATGCCAAGTCATCGCCTAACTCCGCGTGAGACATTACTCGCAATAGGACCAGGTTGGAAGAAGGCCCAGGTGCGCCAAGCCAAGACGTGGTACCAGTTCATGAAGTCCATCAATGTTGCTTTGAGACAGGGAAGTCCCTGGTCGGCGTCCTCATGACGATATGAATAAGTGGTTGAAGATCCTTGATCATGAAATTCTGTTACAATGGTGCAAATGTATTCACTCTTTGACGTCTTCTAAAGTTCGAACACTTTCACTAGCATTTATTCCTACAATTCTTTCTTCTTCTATACACTTTTATTTGCTTTAATACCAATGTTTCACTACCCACTTGCTCTTTGTAAACTACTGTGAAGTGTGGCTACCTGAACAGATGCACTTTCGTGCGAGATATTACGCTGATTTTGTCTATCATAATATAATACTAGAAGGCGGTTGAAAGTTATAGTGAAGTGGACAAGAATCATTTCGATGAACATAAAATAACTGACGAAAAGAAGTTAGTTGCATGTCACAGTGTCCCATATTTCTCATGTACCTTGTGTGATGAAATATTAAGTAAGGACATCAAGAACTATTGATGTTTAAAATGAAATCGATCCAACAGTTACCAATATGTAAAAAAATCATGTAACAAATAAGTGTAAAAGAAGAGTAAAATACTCGAGAGGATAAAAAATAGTAAACTGCCAAGCTAATTCTTACCTCTATAACTGAATAGCTTATCTTCCAACATTGGTATAGCAACAAGAAACACTTGTTGACCTGGTGGTTCTGAAAAGACATGGAATCCAATAAAGTGCCAATTATAATGGAAAAAAAAGAAAGATTTTATGTTCGAAAAAAAACCCATAACAAAAACTTGCTTTGTTTTCCACGAGATTATTTGGGACTACTGTGACTTGGGAGATTGGTCTTTATTCGATGGCGGTGATGACTGAAGTTGACACGAAAATCTAATTGGTGGTAGGACTCAAACCAGCAGTCTTCAGAGGTTGACAGGCGCTGAAAATCTTATTTAGGGTTTTTCAGCTCAATATATATCCAATATTACTACCATTCAGCTTTCAACTAAAACTTGCTTCAAATACTACAGAGTTACGCCACCAGAATGAAACTAACGTATGATAGTTAATCTCTTTTGCATAGAATTTGTAACTTCCCTTTGCCAACTTTATGAGTTCACCAGATGCTTCACAAAGATTTCATTCAGCAATGAGATTCAAATGCTTAGATTTTTTCCGAATTTCATTTTTAAACTCAACTGATTACAATGACCCAGGAGTTATCTGAAGTCAGAAGACTTAGTTCTATCGTAATACTCATAAATATTTGTATGCTTAATAGACTTATATAAATAAAACAGTTACATTCGACGCGATATAAGTGCTCTCTATATAGATCCAACCGAGTTAATTTTCATGGAATTAGTTGAACACACAGTGGTTCAGACGTCCATCTCTAATTCTATTCCTTCACACGTAATATAGTAACAACTTTCATACATCAGTGAAGCATGTTAGATCTTTAAAAATTTTCCTTGTCACCACCATTATATATTTGAAGGATGAACTAAGTGCTGCATTTTGTTTTAGTTGCACAATTCCCTATTTGTCTCTTGTTAGGTCTCAGTTAAATGAGAATTCATTACCGTCAAGCTTATTGAGAACCAAGTAACTAAGAATGATGTATTTTCAACATCCGTATAAAGTGTATCACGCCAAATTATTGATGTACACGATCTGTTCTCCATATTGTTACTAATATGAAGGCTGGTTAGTGTTTAGACGAAGGTCATACACCATCGGTTGGTTGTTAGTTTCATTCACAAGTAGGCATGCTGTTTAATCAACTACTCAATACTACTACTACTACTAATAATAATAATAATCCCTTTGTTCCAGACAATAACTTTTAGTACAGTTTGGAATTTTCAGTATGATATTTCAATTGTACAGTATTCTCAAATTAAAAAACTACAGCAGTTAAATAATATTAACCACGGCAGTATGATAGGCAGTAATGCACAACAATCCATAGGTCATCACCTAGTTTGTACGTTGTTGTGCGTCGGTCGGGTAGAGAAACATTCGTAAGCTTGGTGATGGTGGTTCATCCATCAAGTATGAAAATTTGCTGTTCAAGCTATGAGATCCTGTAATAGCTGCACTGTTGTGCGTTCAGGAGTTAAGTACCGTCTGCAGTGATATTTCTCGTAGTCTAGTTGTTAATCTGTCTAACGATAGGTTGAAGACATTTTAAGAGTCGACAGGAACACGTTCTATAATTTGTTGACATTTAAATGGTTAAAACAAGTGAAAATGAGGCAATTTGAAGAGATATTTTTTGTAACTCGAAATTTAGACAAACGGATAAACACTATAACCAAATTACTTAGGACGATAGTGGAAAAAGAACTGGATCATAATACGTATGAAAGTTTAAAAAAGTACTCACTACAACCTTTGCAACAGACAAATAGGTATACAATAATTAAAAACATACCGTCATTATTAATACGAAAAGCAAATCCATTTTTAGCGAACACATCCAAATTACTGATTAATAGTTGTTCATTAGCAATAGTTAAATTCAACTGGTAAGGTCTGTGAGCAACAGGCAAAAAAAAAGAAAGATAATAAACATTTCCATACATATTAAGAGAGAGGGGAAGAAACAAAAGAGTATTGTAAAACTCTAACTTCCACGGTCGTTTCGTGGTTTTTGAGATACATGGAGGATATTATCAGACCAGTATGTTTATAGACGATAATATCGTGCTTCACCAAAGAAATAGAGATATTGGACTCAGCGATAAGGAAAGAGACACGTGATTACAACATTTGTTGATTTTCGAATATTCGTAATGTATATTTCTTGATCACCTGGCCACGATATAACAGTAAAAATTTATCATCATAATGAAACAAAATACGATGAAATGAAATCAAACAGCTATGGTTCATCCATCTAAGCACTCGATTTCTATCAATAACTCTATCTCAACTTCAATCATTATCGTCACCAAACAAGTCACAAGTTTGAACCCCGCTCCACTAATCGACGTCTAGGCAGCCAGATAGTAATTACCATTAACTCTCAAACAATCTGTGGCTCTCTGCCTACTGCACCAACGGGCACATGGTTGCTGAGAGTAGTTCGAAAACTTTTTTCAAATGAAATCAAATTTATCGAACGAATCCTTCTGCTGTTAATATAGGTTCAATGGGGGGGGGGATTCCAAAATTTATTAATTTCCTTCACTGTTAAAAGTAGTTTTAAGTGCATCTTAAGATGATATGTAATTGTGCTGTTAAACTGTTCCTCGATTATGGTTGAATGGATAGCTACAGAGAGCAATACGTTCATTGAATAAGATATAACACATACGATGAGTAGTTGACATTTGAAAGCATTTTCAATCCTTATGATGATCAAAACTATCCAACAGAAGGTATACGAAGGTACTAATCTACTGAAAAATAACCAAATAACTCAATGCGTAGTTAAAAGACGGAGGGGACGAACAAACACAGAAATATCTTCGACCCCAAAATTACAGATCTTCCGTATACCAAAGAGTACAGTTAACATAGATATTTACACATCTAGATTTAAAAAGAAAGATTTCAACGAAGAGAATGTCTTTCCTGACGAATCATTTTCAAAAGCTATACGATTATAATTATAGATGATACAACCATGAGTAGCTAATGCATAAATACAAGGTTATCAACCCTGTAAGTTTCCTGCATTTCTTGATTGGTTATTTACACATTTAGCCTAGAATACGTGGTTAACAACGTCTATTCACTGGTGGAAAAACAATCTAAGAACTTTTAAACACCGATCTGACTTACATTCTTACAAGATGATACAAGTGAAGAGAGTGACATTTCACTGAATGATAGTTGTTCTATTATGGTGATTAAAACACTACTTAAATCAATAAAAGTAGATGTGACCTCCCTTTGTAAATAAATATCACAGCAATGCCATTGTGATGAGAATGCAAGCAACCATGAACCCCAGAAAAATGACTGAAATATTGTTACGCAATTAAATGAAAAACAACAACAACAGTCTGGAACCAATCATACCAAAGTTGGATTGTAACATTCGAATGACAGGCGTATAAACACTATAGCTTAACGAGAAAGATTTTCGGACTTACGCAACTAATGGTTGACTTTTAAATCGATAATTCTCAATCAACTGTTCAAAACGATACTTCTCATCACTTGCATGCTGATCAACAATAAATAAGTCATCATTATGACGTGCAATAATAAAGCCTAGATTGAATTGTCCAAGAACTTTCAAACTATTGAATGTTTCTTTTCTGTTATTTATTTTTTACAAAAAAGACAGAGAATAAAGGCAATTATTTAATTACAAACATTTGTCATTATCATATTATATATCACTGCATTGATATGATTATGAGCAATAATTTATGCTGGAAACGTCATCAAATAAATAATAATGTATCACTGTGTGTTATGTCAAATAAACAAATCTAATATGGAATTACGTTCTACCACAGTACTCAAGTTTTACACAAGTTTTACAGAGCATCCCCATCATAAAGCATACGATTGTTAGACTGGAAATGTATACCCCTTACCACACGTCAGTATGTTATATGAAGTAGGTGCTAGAAGATTCTAGTTGATGTCGCTCAAAAGCGATGTACATAACACACAACTTTACTTGACCTATTGTGTTTAGAGTGAGGATTCCAATTTATCACTGACTAAAGCATAATCCAAATTCAAACCAGGTGTAGCAGTTCCATATATGTATATACGCCATCGACAGTTGACAGCGATATAGTTTATTTCAATTGAAGCTTGACTATTATAGAGGATTTCAGATAGAGGTTACAGCTGAAAAGCAGAAGTATTTCGATGAACACAGAAACTGTGTACATAGAAAATAGTAAAACCGCGGACTACTTCCAAGGATGAAACCAGTCGGATTCCATAGGGTTGTGGGAACTCCATAGAGTAAGAAAAACTGAGGTGGTGATAATTTTGTGAATATGAAATTTAATCTTCTCTTACAATAAACATTCCCTACAACATACAATAAAAATGGAGCTTAGAAACCAAGTGCGTCTTTATGCACTAGGCTATGAGATAAACCAATTTTATGGAGACTTACTATAGGGTTATTCAAATACGTGAATTTCGGTGACTGGACAAGGTTTTAGGGTAGTCATTTATTGGTTAAAGGCGTGATCCAATGGTTCATATAAATAGAGATGAAGATAAATAGACAAACAACTCACTTGAAATACATGGTTAATTCCTTTTCAGCTTCCTTGTTTTCAGTAGCCGTAAATTTACCAAATGAGAAATTTCCATCATTACGATCATCATCGTTATTATTATTTGATGACCTATCTGAGCATGTGGATGGTAATATGTGCAAAAGTTGATTCCAGCGATTACGTAAACTTTCCATAGAAAAATCAACTTCAGTAGATTCTAAATGTATGTCACTGAACTAAAAAAAAAAGATGATTAAGAAAATAGATGTGGAGCTGAATGTCTTTTTATGTACGCGCGTACATGAAACATGGTTACAATGAAAATTCACTTAAAATCAAATGCTTAGCCGATTACAAGGAATAAGATGATATGACGTACAATGTGTGCTACTCTTGTTACAAAGTGGTCATCAAGAAAAGTGAAACACCATGAAACTCATCATCTGAGAAGACTTGGCTATATTTCCCTCTGTAGAGCCATTATGTGAGGTGCAGAGATAGGCTTTGAATAAAAGATAAGGAAGGTATGCTAGTTGGTGAGACTGTAAACCTTTATCAACTGAGATAACTGTAACATGTGCCACTTGTACTACGTCACCGCCTACAACAGTATAATGAACTTAGATTAGGTTGATGAGAAGTCATCATATAGTCAAACTAAGATATGATAGCGATTTATGAAGTGTCTCACAATTGATCTGAGTTATGTTACGAAATGTTGTCCTTCTCCATGAAACACGCACGACGTCTTCAATTGCTAATTGGAGATTTCACTTGCTTTTGACATGACGGACTAACACAAGTTGAAAATAGCTTATAAGTTGAGAGAAATCTTCACATCCAGTAAAGCTGAATACTAAACATTCTCCGTTCTGTAGCTTGTTGAATATTACAAACAGTGGAACAGTTTTACTTACTTTTTGTTCATAGTCATATTAAAGATAAGCCCAGGACTTTTACACTTCTTATAGTTATATTATTTTTCCTTCTGAGGTAAAGGTTCCAGAATTTTCCACATATCTGGAACAGGTGTTGAGGCATTCATGTTACATGTTCTCGGATTTGATTCGATAAAAAAAGTTTCAGTTATTGATCTTTCTCTTCAAGGAAGGGATTTCAGAAATTCGAGGTAGAGATCTCAAAACGACTGAGTTTGTGGTGACATCTGAAGATACAAACTCCCTAAGAGACGAGTTTTGCAGGTTAAAGGAAGCTCCAGAACCCATAAGACAAAATAAATCACAAGGCAGTATTCATCAGAGATGGACACCAGTTGGAGAACCATCTCAGATGACGTAAACTACCTTGAAATCAATCAGACGGAAAAAAAATTAGTTTTCCAAATTCTAAGTAACAATTATAAAGTCAACGACGTAGACCAAAGTAGTCGAATACCCTTAGTTAAGCTAAAAAGGAGCATAAATCTTGGCAAAATTTAGAATGGTAAATCCTGGTGAGATTATGAAAATGGAGATAAAAGTTTAGCTTTAGCAATGTGTTTGGTCATAAATAGTCAAACAGTAGGATGGTCAAAGTGATTGTCTCAAAAACTAATTTAGCGAAGTGACGAGATCGACTGATAGATGGGAGTTTGCTTACCAAACCAAAACGAAATACATGCAACAATAATGACTCCACATCTGTTCCAGATATGTGGGAAGCTCTAAAACCTCTAAGACAGAGGGGAAAAGAAGAATAAAACCATAAAAAGAGAGTTTGAAAGTTGTGGGCTCAACTTTATTATGGCCATCAACAAAACTTTTGGGCTGGAAAAACCATCCAGTCAGCAATACCGTTTCACTGTGTGAAATATCCGACAAACAGGCTGACATGGAAACGTACTCAACCAAATTACACAAGTTCTACTCCGACAAGAATACAAATACTTAAGTCCATTAGTGTTTCCTGTCAAGATGTTGAATCTTAAACACAACGATCAGAATCTTCACAGCCTTTTCAAATACTGACACAAGCAGTAGAAATCTAAATGCTAGGTTAGTGGTATATATACGTTATCAGTCTTAATAATAATAATAACGGATAGTGGCTGGCAGTGGAATCCAGGATGCGCATTTTATTCGATTTGAGACTCGTCAGCTGGATGTACGTACTACGCAGTGAGTGATGCTATTCCCACCGAGATTCGAACTCCGGACCGATCGCTTCAAACGCCGTAGCGTTATCCACTAGGCCACCGAGCCACTTTTTGTGCGACGGATATAGTTTTAGTACTATTACTTGTATTATACCGTCGTTGATTGAACCGAATTGATCGGTCTCTATTGGCATTCGCGTAGGAGCCCATATACTAATCGAGACCGATCAATTCGGTCCAATCAACGACGGTATAATACAAGCAATAGTTTTAACAATACCTACTGTATAAAACATTGGATTTTTTACTAGAGGTTCAGTGAAGAAAAATCTTTTTGGTGCCTCTGACTAATTAATTTCCTCAATGGTTTGGTACTCACTCATTTTTGTCTTCAATCATGTAGAATCCATCATCCGACTCCGGCCATAAAATATACATCTGGACGATAGCCAGAGACACTGATTAGCTGGTAAAATGGAGAGACTTTAAAGGTCAATCTAGCAACTGCTGAAATAACCAATTAGCTTCCACCTTTTTACAAAAAACTATCTTACCAGCCGAAATAGAGGAACTTAATTGGTTATTTCATTGGTTCGCAGGATGGATTTTAGAGTCATATGTAGAACGCCATGAGAGTAGAGCTAGATTCAAAACTTTCACTAGTTGTAGACAGGATTCCCGAGTCGATGAGTCATAAACAAATTTATGATATTAGTTGTAAAAAACCCACATATAGTTGATCCTCCATATCTTCGTAATCCGGAAAAGCTTCTATAATTTCCTCTTTACAATCAATTGGTTGGGATTCTTCAAGGGGAACTTCTTGTCTCTCAGAATGACGTAGAGGAGCTTCTGGTGTAAGGTCGACAACTTCTAGTTGCGACGACTGTAGGTCGTCAGAATGGGCTAAAAAAACAATTCATGCATAAGATTCACATGGATTTGATGGAAATATAATATGCGCAACAAGGATTTAGCGAATTAACGAAATCAAATGTCTCTTTAAGAATTTTGTTCAACCTGACATGAATGAATAATCATTGCAAGGTAGAGATGTTGACGACTAAAAAAAAAGTAAGTCCCATTAGAATTTACCACTACTTATGGGTACGGGGAAAACGTGTAACCAAGAATGAAACCGACCTCTTAATGATGATGCATGGTCACAAAAACTGATTGATTCATATTTCAGATAGAATAACTTCATGGGATACATGAAGCTTGTTTGATTAGCTAAAATTTCCATTCAGATGAATCCTGTATACTATATGTAAACAAATATATGCATGCAACACTTATAACCGTACGCGTAATGTCAGTAGGCCAGGAACTAAAGATGAACCTAAAGACAGTCTCATATAAAGTCGATGACAATTGATTAATAATCATCAGCCAATTTATGCACACTACTGAAGAGTTCTGAAGTGGGACGAAAAGATCATCAAATGCTATCTGCCCCACTAATTTATCTGTTTTACAGTAGCAAACAAGTAAATGACTAAATATTACTATATATATATATATATATATATATATATATATATATATATATATATATATATATATATATATATATATATATATATATATATATATTACTGTGTAGATGAAGCAATGATAGACAGTTAGAATATCCACAAAGGAAGTAAACTTCAGTAAGTCCTATGTACATTCAACTACAAGATAATATTTACCTCTTTTAGAAGATAAGTTGTTATCTAATAGAGTAGATTGACGTTTATAACTTGGAGTAGAAAACTGAAAAAAGACAGTGAAAACAAAAAAGAAAACAACTGGATCTCAGATTTGCGTACAAACATGAAATATCAGGGAAAGAGAATGCTAATGGTGCTTTCACTTTGTTCAACTACTCCTAGGTGGCTGAATGTCAAAGAAGTATGACCTACTATCTACTTATATGACCACACATGAATGTAGTCTTCTGGAATAATAATAATAACAATAATGATAAAATTGGCAGTATTTCTTACGAAGGATTAAACAGAATGAGAGAAACCATGACACAAATTACAGAATCATAAGGTCATAGAGAGGCATTGTCGTCGAGTTTTCACGCTAATGCTGTGGATATCGAGATTAAACATTGAAACTACATATATATAATCCTTTTTCGTTTCAAAATCCCTTTATCTTCTAATGTTCTTGTACTATTTTGCATGGTTCATCCCTTGGTGCCCATGTTGTACCACGTTTGTGCTTGAGGTAAATAATACGTTCTAAACTATGAGAACAATGATGAATACAATCAAGAGACCAAGTGGTAATTCATGCACCAGTGTATATGCTACAGCTTTCGAAAAGAGGTTACTTAAACCTTGGCAGGCGAATCTAAATTCTAGCCACTTGTCGAGACAAAATTACCCTAAATATGATCCAACAAATGATATGAAAAAATTACACCAACTGTCAGAAAATAATCGTCACTAATGCTCTAGATGTCCTACTAGTTGCATTCTTTTTCAAGCTTGGGTTTTCAGGAGTCGAGCTTTCAATGCCATTTTGGGGCATAAATTGCACGAGATAGAGAATAATAGCATGTGTGGTGAAGGGGAACTTAACTTTATTGCCATTAAATAACTAATTCCTTGATTTAATGATACCAATCGAGCTACAAGATTCGAAAACTGACGAGGTTTTAATGATGGATTAATGTACCGTTTCCAAGCATGTCAGACACAAAATTAAATCCAAGAGTCAGCATACTGGGTATGTTTAAGTCGATAGTCTTATTCAAATCTAAATTAATCACAACTAGGAACTAATCAAATCAACTGGGATACTAGCACTACAAAAAACAAACTTAGCAAAGTACTTAGTTGAGCTCAATTATGCTTCAATTGTTGTTATGCCAAACCCTGAGCAAGAATAGTTTCATCCTGGTTAATTTACTCACAAATCTATATAACATAAAACCACCAGTAAATATGAAGTGATTTCACAACTACACACGAAAATCAAAACATAGGAGACAAAAGCACTTACAGTGTTTATTTGTGATGCACTATCATTATCAACCTGACAGTCTGTCACAATTTGTGACCGATCAAATTCTATCCTAGACTGAGATAAACTACTGATATCCATGCCAACTGAGTTGAATAGAGTTTTTACGAGAACAGCTTTTGTCAGAGCCAATACATAATTCTCATGATGCAATAACAAAGTTCTCTTATCTGGAGTCAGATTTATGTCCACAGTTTCTAGAAAAGCATAAATACATAGGCGAAAAAGGAAAAGAAATCCTTACACCAAAGAATATAAACAAAATGTCAAAATAGTTCTAAACACCTCACATCCTAATCAGCAATAATTTCTTTCCAGAATACAATATCATGAATGCGATGGCATAGAGATTCATGAAGCAGACTATGAACCAAACAAATTATGAAGGATAGCTGATAGTTACCTGAATGCCAAGCTGAGTTTGGTTCAAACCTGTGACTGACTGATCGAACTTCAAGTCGCTAAACCAATGAGAAATAATCCCTGGTAATATGGTTAGTAAGCTTTAGCAGAAAACAAATCACTATCCCGGAGACAATGCCAAATAATCACACATAATTCAACCGAAGTTTTCATCAAGGACTGATATCAGTTGAAACACCGCTGAAAAATTGAGAATACTGAGAAGCTGCTTTGTCGTACTATGAGACTCTTCAGCGGTGTGTACACACGATCTCGCGAAGAATCAAACCCAGGGCTTTCAGGTTTCATGATGAGCACATTACCATCCAACCAATGGGTTCAAAACCAATGGTTTATGTTCATCAATTCATGATATAGCACGAACATTATCATTCGGCAAACATTCGTTCTTACACATGATTTGGTTGACCCCAGGCTTCTCAATGAAATAAGGAGTCTCAAAAGAGGATAGAACAGATGTCCAATGCACTCACGTTTTTAATGGTTCTCCAACTGATTTGTGATGAAAACTACTTGCAACTATACGTAAACTACCTGCTCATTTGCAACACTATGAACTACTCCTAGTATTTGTCATAAAAAGCGTTTCTGCCGTTGACACATCTCACAAATATGAAGGACTGTTTACGATACCGTCAAATATCGAAAACTCCATCATAGTACTCTATCCTACTGGCATAATAAAGTGTATATAATAGTTAATGGGTAACAATCATAAAGGTTCAATTGAAAAAGTGATCAGCAAACCGTCACTTAACAAATCAGTGTATATGCGTGAAATCTTGTACCCTAAGTCATAAGTTATACCTACTGCAAGGAAACTAAAGATACTCCTTGGTTGCCTAAAAGTCAAATAATAGAAACCGATTCGAGTTTGCAATCCACTTTTCGAATCATAACTATTTATTCAGTTCATTCTTGCAGGATAATTAAATCTTGTTACACCTTCCTTACTTTGAAATGATTGGAATGTAATTTTCAAAGGAAACAAAAAATGGCTTACTTGTAGGCATTGTCAACATTAGTATAAGTACTGGAAATGAACTAGATGTACTTCGACCAGGTAGGCTTATTCCAGAGGCAATTGATGAATAGGCTTCTCTTGAACAACGTCGCCATAAATCAGTGGCTAAACGTGTCAATTTCGGTAAATCGCACGGCCGACCATTAACATAAACAAATTGTCGTTCTGACGAAGAATGGCCAATAGATGAAGAACGACGTTTATTTGCTGATGAATCTATTACTGGCGATGATATACTTGATGCAAGGTCGGACGATGCTAAATTCGGAGGTTTACTCACATATCCAGATAACCTGTTAGTAATGGTGAAAATGTACACACAGTTATTATGACTATATCTTTCCAAGAATGTATATAAAAAGGTATTACGAGGTAGAATTACACCAATTGGAATATTTAATCCTTGGTTTCTATCAATAAGGTTATATATTGGAATGGTATTCGAGACAGCAGTCAGTAACTTGATGTGAGCACCTTCAACCTTCTTACGAAGGATTACTGTTTTAGTAAACATAGTATATCAAGCAGTACAATAGCTTCACATGTATAACGTCCCCTCACCATCAACATAGGACCAGACATTACCAAATAACGGTCCAATTCGCCACAACTTATATCATAATATCAAGTAAAGAAGCAATAAGATGAAAGACAACAAAATAAAAAAGGGTTGATTAAAAATATTATAAAGTAGTGAAAGAGAGGAATGGGGAATAAGAAAGCACTGAATTCAGTATGACGATTAGGATAATGTGTGAATACATCTGTGCGACTGACATAGACTCTAAGCCACATCACACAGTATCCAAACACTGGTTTCTGTTGTCAGGCAGACTCCAAACAGATAGTCTACAATTTTGTTACACCGCTCACGCTCCATGAATTGATGCCATGTTTTAGTCTGGCCACCCATAACTTTTCTCCAACCTTAAAATAGTTCAGATAACACTGCACGACGAGGTGGACGGTGACTAGGCATGAGTAACACATATCCCAGAAATCGCAGTCGATAAAGGTTCACATCTGTATCAACTGACCTTCCTCTTCTCCCTAAAACAGTATATCTGACTTTTGCGTTACTCACTTGGTAACACCAAGACACATGGCATGCACTGAGAAGGCAATAGTGGTCAAACACCAGAGGCCTTCTCATGTTCTCTACCTCTACGTTTCAAAGTAATACAGTAAAACAAAGAGAATTACAGCCCAGTACACACTCGACGCTTAACAGACAATAGGATACGATGGTAGGACCATCACTGGAGAGAATCAAGCGACTATTTTGTGTCCGTTCGAAGACTTCGTCGGTTAATGACCCACTAGAGTTGATCCGACTTTCACATAAGTGAAGGGGTCAGTGCGCTCGACCATGTCACTCCTTATTGTTAGACAAAGCGTCAACGAAAACGTCATGGAACAGAAACTTGCATTTGGGTCGCGAGAAGTACATCCCAGACATTCTCGAATTGCAACTCAAGGTGTCCAGAAGACTGAATCTTGTCAGCGTCTTCACCTAACAGGACTGTGTCATCTGCGTACTCTAGATCTACCAGTCTCCCGTAATAGGATCAATCTCTGTAAAGTCAAACGATGAGAGGGAGACTTCCATAGGAACCTCTATAGTAAAATTGAATAAGAATGGAGGGGAGAGCTATGACGCACACCACTCGGCGAATACAACTCACCACAGGCTCTAACACGCCCAAGTGTGTTTGAGTGCAACGGAGTGACATAATTGTGCGGCACAGCTTTGAGTAAGAGACACTACCATGAGATCTCTTGACCAACGGAGTTAAATGCCACCTTCAGGTCTGGAAATACAACCAGTATCAGGTGTCGGTAAATGTGTCTGTGTTTCAATACCTACCTGACTGAAGGTTAATATCTGGTCAATACACCAACGACCAGGTCTGAAGACTACCTGGTTATCTCCAGTTAGCTGTCAATGAGCTTTTTTTAGAGGTTTAACGATAACAGCACCTAGAATCTTAGACTGTTCATCGGGCTGATTCTCCTGTGGTCACCACAAGAGGACTTCTCACCTATCTTGAAGATTGGGGCAACGAGTGATTGAGACCAGTCAGAGATGATTATATCTGACTCTTATACACTGGCTAGCACTTCAACTAACTTGAACAATAATCCTCTACCACCATCCCAAATTACCTTCGATACTAGCCTATCTGGACCTGCTATCATTTCTCGCTTCAGGTTACCTCGACTTCTGTAAGTATTGGGGGTCATACCCGTCTTCCATTCAAGATTTGGTTGGACAGTAGGCAACACGATAGTAGCCGGAGGTCAGTTGAACTGTTCCACACATTGTTCCAGTTGTCTCTCTTGCAAGTGAATCATATACCAATCATTCTCCACTACAGTTTCACTGACCACTGACACATTCGCCCCAGTTTCCTGAATACGTCTAAACGGCTATCTACTGTTATGTATCGCCGGTGCCTTTCCCATCTCTTTAGCCTTCGCTGCTCATCACTGATCACAGTTATTGAGCAGACTTCTAGTCAGTTTACATTTGAGTTGCTTCCGCTCCTCACTGCTCTCGGAGCTTGCAGAAATGCGTTTGCACGGATTCACTAATTCAGAAGGAACTCTTGAGATTCACTGGCCCCTTATAAGAATTTTCTGAGAGTCAGTCACAGGCTTTAACACTGTTTTACAGCAGACTGGAAATGGGGTCAAGCTTCTTCCGGATGTGTGCTGTTTTTCTGTTCCGATAACTGTCGAGCCACTTTCTCACTGAAAGCAGTCTCAGTGTCCTCACTGTCAAGCCGCATTCACAATGGCGATTGTTGCAATAGTTTTTCTACATATATTTAGGAGCAGATATACGCGTGTATGAACCCACGCGTGGTCGCTATCCAAACGCATGCTTCAGATGGAGCGGCAGTCTTCCACCAATCTCTCCAGCGATAACCGATAAAAATTTGCTTTATCTGTATTCACCACTAAGTTGAGGCTGGTGGACACCACGTCAGACAGTGCCTCTCTTCATGTCTGAAGTTTGTGGTGGTTAGAAATCAGTGTTCTTCTACGCACAGTTGTAGTAGGCGATTGCCGTTATCTGTTCGTTCGACTGGTATTCCGAATTGTCTTTCTGCTTGACTTACCCTGCCTACTTGTGCATTGAAATCACCTGTAACAACAACCACATCTGAACGTTTGGATTTCAGTAAGAAGGTAAACAGTTTTTGGTGGAAGTCATCCTTCACTTCATCTGAACTGCAGTCAGTGGGTGCGTTAGCAGAGATTACAAAGAGACAACAGCAAGTTTCACTATTCTTTTTGGTCTTCACATCGACTTTGAGTTGGACAGAGCATAGGCGACTATTAACTGAGATCCAGTGGAGCAGTGCATTTTCTGCCTTAGTACTTTATGTTACGTCTACACCTGCAAAACCGCGAGAACCAGCCATCGAATCTACAGAAACTCGAAGGGTGAACTTTGAGGATTTCCCATATTGGGCGGGTGGGGTCCTGTATGCGTGTCTTACAAGCACAATGCACATCCATGTTCCAAGATTCTGGAGCTTTGACTAGCAAAGCTTATAGACCAGTTTGATGGAGTGTGTGGACATCGAAAGCTACAGTGTGTATTTTGGAGCTCAGTTTTAAGAGACCAGAGGTGTTGTCCCGTGAAATGAGGTCATTGTCATGAGCTGCAAAGCTGGAAGGCTATTTTTTCTTTAGACACCTGAAAAAGATGGGTTACTGCGTGACTGCAGAGCTCAAGGGATATCTACTTAGGATTTTTTTACCACTATGCCGCGTGATAGAAGGATCTGTGCCTCTTGAGGGTTGATGCTTTCTAACCCTCCCTCTCCCATAGGAAAGGTAGTATTAGCATGGTACTGCTAGTCATCCATGGACAACATCCGACTACCGTCACACCCCGGTTCAGCTAGCAGCACAAATTCATCCTCGGCCGCCCATCATATGATAATTCGCACTAAGGTGATAACTGCTTTTTGTCTTACCACTATCTGAATGACTTATCTAGTACGGTGAAAAGTCGGGGGAACAAGTGTTCCACCAGCATAACTGGTTGGGTCATTGTGATATGCTGTCAATCAGCGTAATATATCTGCAACACACAGTGGAGGGTTGGAGATTATGCAACTTACCAACTTTGCCTAGAACTCTGCTTCCAACTTCAATAGTGTTCAGCTGATGGTTTTACTATGATGAAGAAAATTGATTCACTCACTTTGCTGATGACTGCTATAACTAACAGTTTATGGTCAACAAAGTTGCTCAACGGTTTACTTACTGAGCTTTCATTCATCAAGTCATAGATTCTAATCATTCTCTGCTTATTCTGAGTGTGATGAGCTAGATAGTATGGTAGAATTTTACAAGCAAAGGTACAACCCAAAGATCTCGAAATTCGAATAATGTTGTGATTAGCATTTTCTTCGAACAATGATCATTTCTGTGTATCAACTGATATTGTCTGTTATATCTATCTTTTCATATGGATATGGTCACTTTTTACTAACAGTAAATTGCATATTCTATATTTTTAGGTTGCTTGTGGTTGAGAAGAAGCTGTGGAATTTATTTTTTATTCTTTTTCTTGCTTTGATGGGGACTAATAATCGTTGTGTACGTATAAATTATAAGATTAGAAAAGCAGCTGGAAATCAGTTTGTGGCCAGTTCACCGAAATACTCATCAAATAAATCAGAGTAGTTAACGAAAGCGCTTAAATCCACTTACTTGATAGAATCTTGCTCAGATATCGGTTTAACATTGAATTCTTCACATATGTCATCTGGGATATTGACAATCTCTTCCAACTCTACAAGGCTGTTCAACTGTGAAGACGAAAATAAATAGTAAAAACAACAGTAAATATATGTTTCTAAAATATATGTACGGTAAACATGAACTCATATAATGTAACATATTTTTCCCACTTAACATACAAAATACATCCGCATAGATACGGAATAGTTAAGTGTTAATATACTTCGTCGCCAACTGTTATATTTTCCGAACGGATATAATACGCTTGTTTAACTGACAGCTAACTTCGTACGCAAGAGCCACCGACTGCAACCCGGAACGAATAGAGAGAAGACCGAAGCTGGATGGTGTCAGAGACCATACCTCCGAGAATATAATAATCAACCAATCCAAAAACACGTGAATATGTATACACATGGAATATGACCTTGTCCGTAATTGGAGACATTTGGATAGTAAGAGTAAAGACTAACCAATCAGAGAATTACATTAAAGTGGTGGCGGAAAATAAACTACTGGTCATATACTGTAAAAATGGTGTGAGAATGGTAAGTTAAAACGTTCAGATCAATGACAATGTTTTATGCAACCTGGCGTCTTATAACATTAAGGAGGAAACTCATCCATTGACTTGGACAGTGGGACTGAATTAGAGGTTCGAGAGTTTGAGGTGCATTCCACTTACGGAAGTTAAGTTGGTCTAGAATCATCATTACCCCTCATCCAGCTGATGTAGCCAACAGCATAATGCACATGAATATACATGCAATCGCTGAGTTGAATATCTTTATAATCCTTAATCAGTACACCATCCATAGTTCTCATTTAGCAGATAGATGCAACTTAACGAAAAAGTGAATGCTTAAGCAATAAAATATGTAAGACATTCCTTGCTATCCACTTTGTTAACAACTAATATAGCATACAATAAAAAATAACATACGTTGAGAGAAGGTGAATCGGAACACGTTAACAAACTAAAATGCAGAACTAACTGAACTAATGAAATACATTTGTAAAATTCCAATGAGACAGAAAAATAATTTTCTTAGGTTTCATGACCTAATTAAACCAGATTTTTTAAATCGCCTCCAACTATCTAAAATCAACCAATGTGTACTATGATGGTGAGTCTCCTAGCTTGGTGATTACATTACGAAACGATCGATAGAATTTGGTCGACATTTAGGACCAGGCCACATGAGTGACTAACCAAGGTGTTATATTCTTTATTGTTACATGTTTGCCACTAAAGACTAGGAAGAACTGGACAGCTGTTACATTTTAGCTTGAGTCTTAGCGGGAGAACCAACACCAGGATACAAGCATATCCAAACAGTTGATGGTAAATAATGCAAAACGCAAAGCTCTCTACTCGAACACTTGTGGGCATGTTAGAGCCTATGGTGAATTGTCCAGGGAGCTATACTCATCAAGTGGTGTCCGTCAAGGATGCCCACTATCCCCATTCTTATTTAATTTTATCATAGATATTCTTATGGAGGTTTCCCTCTCGTCACCTGATTACACAGACGTTGACCCGATCACAGGTGAATTTTCTTTAGATCTAGAATATACAGATGACATAGTCCTGTTGGGTGAAGACGCTGACAAGATGCAGAGTCTTCTGAACACTTTGAGTGGGAATTTGAGAATGTTTGGGATGCATTTCTCACCACCCAAATGCAAATTTTTGCTCCAGGACTGGTCTTCAGCGGTACCGCGGTTAACAATAGAGAGTGAAGTGGTTGAGTGTGTTGACCACTTCACCTACCTGGGAAGTAGGATCAACCCCGGTGGGTTAGTTGCCGATGAGATTTCTATACGGATACAAAAGGCTCGATTGGCTTTTGCCAATTTGCGCCACCTATGGCGCCGCCGTGATATTCGTTTGTCTATTAAGGGTCGCGTGTACTGCACAGCAGTCCGGTCTGTTCTACTATACGGCTGTGAAACATGGCCATTGAAAGTGGAGGATACAAAAAGGCTTAAGGTGTTTGACCACCGTTGCGTTCGTAATATAGGACGTATTCCGTGGTGTCACCACGTGAGTAATGCAGAAGTTAGGTGTAGAGTTTTAGGGAGAAGAGGTAAGTCAGTTGACGAGGTTGTGAACCTTCATCGACTGAGATGGTTGGGACACGTACTACGTATGCCTAGTCACCGATTGCCTCGTCACACAATGTTGGCTGAGGTGGGTTCAGGCTGGAAAAAGGCCTGAGGTGGCCAGACTAAAACATGGCACCAATGTATGAAGTCTCTGACTGTTGGTTTAAGCCATGTAGGACGATGCAGACTAGGTGGTTGGGGTCCACGGGACAAGAGGAACCAGTGGTTGGAGACCCTAGGTGATATGGCTCAGAACCGAAGTCAGTGGCACAGATGTATACACACATTATCCTCATCTTAACAACGCTATACCGAATCTCACCATTTTGTCACTCCTCTCTCCTTTCTTCTCGTACTTTATATTTCTTTTGAGTACATTCACTTATCTTCATCCTTCGCCTCACTACCTTTTTACTTGATGTGCTGATATGAGGTGTGGCAACTCGGACCGTTACGCAGTAATGCCTGGTCCTATGTTGATAATGATGATGATGAATGCAAAACGCGAATGATAGAAATTCCACCGTCAGCTATTACAGAATATCAATCGATATTTTTTCGAAAAAAGACAACAGTCTTAGTACTGCAAAACAGTTTAATTTAATTCAGTTCATACTTTAAGCTAAATCACAGCTGTATCAAATAATTGTCATTATTTATCGTAATGGCATTGACTTATAATTATAAAGCGATCAAGAGAGTAACTATGAGCCGCACTAGCGTTTCATCCACAGAAAATCCACTTCACATTCACACAAGGTATTTTATTACACTGTGATTCATTGGTCTGCGTACCAGACTTTCAACTAGTGAGCCGCGGGTTCGAACTCAGCTTCATCTCTACCAAGGTCTGGGCTGCTATGTAGTATCATCAGCTAATACTTATGATCCATTGCCTACTGCATGAAAGTGTATCTGTTTGGAAGTGTCTTCTCTCGAACTGTTTGTTCTTTTTCCGTTCAGATTATTAAGATACACCACACTATACTCCACATTTTGTTCATGACCTTATCAGGTAGGATTCATAATTAGCAGACAGAATGCACTGGAACCGAACTCCCATGACTGCTAGTAATCATCAAACAAACTTTTCTACAAAAATTCGAACCTGTATCGACTGGTACCGCAGTCAGAGACGTAAATACCAAATTATTGGAGTTATGATCAATTCCATACAGGATTAGACTAAGTGAATGAGTTAAATACTGTTTGAGTCATCTGTATGACTTTCTAATTTCCACTGATGTCTGAACGTAATCAATCAAACGGTCAACATTAGGCATAGCATACCACAATAACTAGTAACTTAGCAGTTGGATCTTGATAATTACGTCGGTTACTAACCAGTGACTCACTTGTATGCATAATCCAATCCTACAGATGGTTAAGTATGATATCCGCAACTTGAGTGTCAACTTTTCTCATTCTAGTGGGGGAAATAACTTTCATTAAGTTTACACACATGCCTTATTTGCTAAGTGCGAAAACGAAGTCTACAGTGTCAATTGTATCCTAATATCTGATAAATAACTCCAATTTCACATGGAATATAACAATTCTTTTCGTATAGAAAATGTATACATGTATACCTGTGTATGACCGAAAACTGCGGCAATATTATCCTTGAGTGATACAGATGGACCATTTGAGATTATGTTGATCAGTTCACTAAATAAAAGTAAAATACAGTACAAATCAAATGATTTCCATAATTGACTTTTATCAATAATCACCTTATATGCAAATATCAATATATTTATTCAGCGCTGGTGATTAATGTTGAAAAGAAGCCTTTACTTAAGCGAATGATTGATTGAACTACAACAATGAATTCACAAAACATTCATATATCGCTGTTCACTGCTATGAATTCAAATGCTTGTCAGATTTTCTTTCAGCTTCGAATATAATCTCATGACTTGCTAAGTAAAATTGGTTCAATCAAACTTGATAGTGCATTATTTACCTAATATTAGATATAATTTGCCTTAATGAAGTAGTCGATGACAGTACTATATAAGTCAGTTATAAACTGGCTACTATTTTGTTTCTGACTAATCTATAGAAAACCAAAGAACTAAACTTTACACTTGTTACCAATCATTAGAAAGATAGGCTACAAACTTGGGATAAAATTATGTTTACTCCGGAATTCGAACATGTGAAATTCATTTCCAAAATTTAATACTCTATCATGAAGCTGAAATTCTTTTGAAATCCAATCAATAACCTTGTGCACGTTGGTGCAGTAAGTAATAGGTCACACCTGTTGTATGAGGGCTGAGGATAATAAATAACTGGTTATAGTATTCAAATTTATGACCCATCGGTTGAAAGTTGACTCCGTAGACCATTGAACCAAAACTCTAAGCAAATACGACTAACCTCTGTATGTGAGTGAATTAAGTACAAGCGATGGAACTACACAGTTCTCAGTGGGAATAGAAGTTGATTTATTCTGTCTACAATACAAATTGATAGTATTCATTATTTGTAGGTAATTTCAAACACCTCAAAAGTGAATCCCAATATGCAAGTTAAGCGGTCAAAAATATATACTTACTCCTGTGCACAGGACAAAGATATTAAAAGTAACTACCAGTGAACACAGACAAAACTAGGAAGTGCATAACCATTTCTGTGTAAACATTTCCAGTAGTATTCACGTTTATTTCAGTAAGTTTTACCGTTATATCTTTGATCCAGTTACTGCTTGATATTGTTGCATTTTAGATCAGGTTTGTTATTTTTCATAATAGCTTTCATATATAGTGCTTAGTTATGCCTAGTTAGATTTGACAATCAACGAGTTACTTCAGAAAACTAGTTACATGAGATAAATAACCCTGAATTGAAAAATGAGCCTACAAGGGCAGAGGTAATTGTAAGTGGTCGTCTGTCAAACGAGTTCACGTGTCCATACAGCTCACATAACCGTTGCTTTCGTCTTCTTTTTCGTATATGTTTCAATTATGGTAACTATCTGTTGAATGCCTACCTGGTCATATAATATTTGGATCTGTCTGGTTGCCAAATAATTTCTGTCAGGACTATGAAGCAGTCTTTTTTCCACTGGCAGCCAAATTCCAAACCAATCCTTGTCTAGCCTGGAACGGTACTGGCATCCCGATTAGGAACGTGAACTATGGCTACCTCTCATGTTGGGCACATGTGAAGCGACTAAACAAACTTTATTCTCATCGGCTAAATATATGCTTTGGTAAACTTTGATCACTATTTCCAACGTATTCCCAGTATAGTGATTCGACTGTACCCATTCAAATCTCTAGTCACTGCGACTTCAAAAATATGTGCCACAGATATGATTCACAATACAAACACACACAATACACACAATATACACAATACAACCAAGACCACCCACCTGAAATACAAATATTGTCCACTATTTCAAAATTTTAAGAGCATAGCACGCTTCACGTTGTTCGAAGATGGGAAGACTGCTCCAAAAGACAAGTTTTCACAAGAGAACAACTATTCTTTCTCCATGAGTGTTTACATAAGCATGTTCTGCTGAAGAGTGTCAGATGCAGACCATCGATTGACTGCCCAATGGGATGGGAAATAGCCGAACAAAGTGGAAGACAAGTGGTACAATCGGTGATCACAGATACACATCATCGGATTCGGAAATACCAATCAGTGATTAACAATTAAAAGGCAAAACTAGAAAGCATACTCATGACATAACACATGACAACGCTGACAACTGCAATCGAAAAATCAAGCAGACGATACAAACAACAACGAAGAAACGTCCACAGGAAAAAGCTGCTCAAAATCTCAGAAGTACCTTCAACCGATGAAACAAACGACTGCGTTGCCAACTTATCAAAACAACCACTTACAAAAATGGAAGAACTTCTTCAAAAAAGATTGAATTACAACACAAGAGATGCCACGAATTCTTTGCTGCATTACAGTCGTCACTTAAAACATCAGGATTAAATGAGGTCACTTAACAAGAAATACGGCAAACAATCGTACCACTGACCAGGCAAATAAAATATCGCGCTCAAATGAACACTCAAGAACAGAAAACATTAAAAAAGCCGGAAAATAGGAAAGACATCGTTATACTTCCAGCAGATAAACGACGCACTACAGTAGTCATGGACAAAGAAGACTACATCAGGAAAGCAGAGGAATTACTCAAAGACGAAAATATATATCAACTACTTGAAACTAACCCTATCCAGAAGTTCGACAACCAGATCATTAAGACCTTGAACAAACTCTTCAAAGCAGAAGAAACAACAAAGCAAGACAGATAAAGAATGAAATCGAATGGATCCATCCTTTCTCGGTCCGATGGCAGACCAAAACTACACAAACCAGACATCCCTTTACGACCAATAGATAGTCTCACCTCTGAGAACTCCCACATACAACATATCAAGGGAACATTCGAGGAAACTGAAACACCTGGTCAAATCATGTGGATATTCGATCAAATCACCAAGAGGATTCTTAGAAAAGATCAAAATCATTAACATAGAAAACGACAAATTAATGGTATCCCACGATGTCACAGCACTATACACTTCCATCGGACCCCAGTTAGCCAAAGAAACTATGTCCTTCCTGCTCACTGAAGACAAGCCTTACAGAAGGCACGAAACTTGAATGTTGAAGTCTGATGGAACTCATCGACGTTTGTCTGACAACATACTTCGAATTCAGTGGCAAGATATGCAAACAGATGAAAGGAGCTTCAATGGGATCACCGATATCCGGACTTATTGCAGAGACTGAAAGCCATCATCCTACCTATGATCAAACCAAAATTCTGGATTCGCTATGTGGACGACACTTTTGTCACCATTATAAAAGATGATATAGGAAACATCCACAATTTGATCAACAACGTTTTCAGTGACATCAAATTCACAATGGAGAAGGAGTCAAACAACCAACTGCCATTCCTGGATTTTTTAGTCAGTAGGACAAATGTCGGGAAGCTGAAAACCCAAGTGTTCAGGAAGCCAATACACATTGACCAAGTCCTCAACTACAGTAGCGAGAACACACTGTAGTACAACAACTTCACAGAGAAACGAAGAAAATTACTCGATGTCCATCCTAAAGAAGAACGGCTACCCACGAAACTTTATCAGATGTCTATCCCGTGCATCACCAACTACAAAGTCATCGACAGAAATCAACAAACGCATCGTCCTACCATACATAACGAATGTATCAGAAATCACAACAAGATTTCTGTGACCACTTGGAATTGGTGTGGCTCATCAACCAACAAATTCCCTCCAAACACTATTATGCAGATCTAAGGATGCGACAAGCAAAGAAGACAAACCCAATATCATTTACAAAATCAACTGCAATAACTGTAGTCAACACTATATTGGACAAGGTGGTCGCCCTCTTCGCCGTCGTCTACATGAACACCAATTGGCTATTAAACGTCACGACATTTCATCACTCATTTCAATGCACGTGTATAATTATGGACATGAATTCAATTTCGACAATGTAGAAATTTTGGACAGAGGAAACACAAAAAATGTCAGAGAATTCCTAGAAGCTTGGTTAGTCAACAATCAACAGATGTATAGACATAGACCCAATCTATCAACCAATAAGAAAGATGATAAACGACAGAAAGGTGAGAGGTCAAGCAGAGGGACAGCCAGCAGGAAAATCTATACAGTCAATGACACAACAACCAAAGGAAACAGCCAATCATAGACCGCTTCGTCAAGGCAAGCTACTAAAACACTCACGGAGAGATATTTACAGCTCACTTCATACTGAAGTTATTGCTGATGATGTCGTCTAGAGGGACGATGAAAGCTTCATGATTAAACAACCCAGTTCAGAGAAAACGATGCAACCAGGACCATCCACGTGAGCTACAAATATTCTCCACTATTTTATAGCGCAATCCTTCAGTCACAACTTAATGCTATTGTGAGGATTACAGGTAGTCATGTTATTTGGAACCGCCAAGCCTGTATACTTTTCTACACCTTTAGAACATGTGAACGATAATGTGCCATGCTATTATATCTACTGAATGAAATTTTATGCAATAACTCATTGATCCACACAAGTAAAGGCCTAGAAGCATATTCCAAAGTGGCTTCAAAAGAAAACTGAACCGCCTATCCCGATAACAGACGTCTATTTTTTTCGATTGCAAAGCATACCAATAGGACAAGTTACAAGACTAACGTTACTAAAATCTTTAGACCTGGGGCGCAAGTACACCCAGCTGACGAGTCCCAATTAGGACGAACCCCGCGTCCTTGACTACACCGCTAGCAAGCGAAATACTCTTCAGACCAATCTATAAAACATGCTGGAAATGTATTCGAAGATTAATTGAGGCCTTAGCTGTGAGGAAGTTTCAGCCACCTTTATATGTGCAGAAACAATTTATTAAACTAAACTTTCCTTCGGAAATTCAGGTTTCAAACCGAAATCGGTGTATGATTATTTCTTTGCATTATGGATTCCCATTGTTATTTTGATCTTCAATTTAGCTCTTCTACTTGACTTCTCTTCATTTTCTTACTCTTTATCTCTTTATAACCTTACTTCATAAGTATCTATGACAGGTATGCGTATGATCAGATTGTTCAAAATGTGTTGCGCAAATACATAGCATGATTCAGACAAATTATGTCATGTTACTCTTCAGCCCAAGTTTTTAAAGCGAACTATTTGTTCGAATGTAACACTATCCCCTCAATGATTTTTCCAAATAACATAAAAGTATATTTAGAGGGGATTTCCAGTAATACGCGTCACAAGATTATGCCGAGTGGTACAATGAACTAACTATCTACATGCTCACCACTAATTTTAGTATTAGCCCATCGGAAGTTTACTCTGCAAGTATTCGACTAAGATATATTAACACTTTAACTTTTCAAAGTGCTTTTTCTGTTTACTGCTTCTGCTTGTGCTATTGTACCAAGAGGTTTTAGGATTTTTTTTATGCCGGGGCTCTTATACATCGTGATGGGCTTTACCAAGATTTTTCATATGCTATGCGCAGGTTAAAAAGATTAAAAATTTGGTAAACTAAAAACAATTTAAACGATCTTTTTAGAAGAATACAAAATGATGTTTTACCCTTTTTTTCCAATTCGGCTGCAAGAGATTTGTATACCGACAGAGACAAGGCAGTAAGCTGTTAGCAAGCTGATAACTTTTGAAAATTCTTTTGATAGACGATTTGGATCAGTTAGATGACGCCGACGAACTGGTAGATCGTAGAATAACTGGCTAACGCATACAGTTGTACCCTGTGACCTTGCTAAGTATCGTCTATTTACTACGTGTCCAGAAGAGTCAAATTCAAGTCTGGTGCCCATCTTTGCACCTGATGCGCAGGTGTGTATAGTCACTTTCCTGGAAGATGAAAAATGGATGTTTCAAACGAAGAAATGAAGTAAGGAGTTTGATAGTTTACACATGTATGCCATACTACAGGAACAACAACGAATTCGTGTCACAGAAAGGAAACTGGTTGATCAACAAAAGCAAAAGGAATACGGGATGAAATATGACACTCAGTGTTTAACTACTACTTCAGAAACAGTTCAAGCACGAGCATGAATTTCCTCAATCGATAACAGCCTTCATTCCTTTATTTTATGTACTGGGTTACGAGCCACACTTACAGTAACACCTAATTATCAAAGTCTTAGCAAGTGGTTTGCGATGATAGTCATAGTACAGACGCTAATTGGTTGCATATTCACAGTGAATATTCAAAAGCGTAGAACCGAACACGCACTATACCAGTTTGAATCGCTATAGTTTTTGATCAGTGAGAAAAAAGTGAAAACCAAGGGACGTAGAAGGTTGGCCAGGCATAAAATAAATAAAGATATTCTGACAGTGTGAAGTAGCATTTTCATTTTGGCTCACAGAAGTTTGACAGACATCAGCTTTCACAACATATTTATACTTTTAAGAAAAAAATAACTTACGAACGCGAGCAGCCTTCTCAGACAGCTCAGAAATAAAACATCTTATGCATCTGTCATTCTAAGAAAGAAACATAAATGTTTCACTAGATTTTTATCGGGTGTCAGGATTTACTTTCATTTTCTTATGGACTATGAATTATGTGACAGAAAAGTATCACAATGTTGTGCAATCCAAAGCATTCATCATCTTTCCTTACTTAGAGGAATAACAGATGTGAAAATGTCCGTGGAAGAACAAACTGTCAATTATTATAACTTGATAGGTACCACCTGCTTTTTTAAATACAAAATTCACATACTGATAGTTACACGACTTAACCTTCCAACCTCTATTCGATAGAAGGTACAGAATGCTGCTTACCATCCTTGCAGTGTCAATCGTAAGCTGAATCAAAGATACAAAATAAACATGCGAATACCTGACTTTTCACAATCTACAATTATGTATAAAAATAGAATCAATCGCTTTGTGTACAGAAAATGGAACTACGAATATTCATCAGCAAATCGTATTGGTAGACAATTACTTTACGATTGCATATCGTATGGTGAAAAATGACGTGACAGACAGATGCTCATGAAAAAGGATTTGTAAGCAAATTATCAAAGAAATGATGAGTGAAATATCTTTAAAACAGATAAAAATATATAGAGAAATCCTAACTGAGGTTTATAGTTTTCTTCTACTGCCATCAATGGTGCGATTAAAAAAAGATGGAAGAAAATTTAACAGCTCATGAAGTACTGTAAAATTAGGGAATCCAAAGTATTAAAAAGGCAAAATTCATAGTTTGTGCATCTAAACTATTGCTAATCTGTACGTTCAAGAAATGTACAGAAGTGTAAGCAATGTCAGACAATGAACAACTAATACTAACTAACAAATTACGTCACACGCAGGGAGATGATGTCCACTCGATTCAAACTAACTGAGTTGAAATCAGCAGGCAAGTAGAACAAAGAATTATGCAATTTTTGTACGCCTAGAGCTTCAGTAACCTTATAGCGTGAATCTTACAGCACAAGCTTAAAACGAAGACAAAGGCCTGTCATCAATAAATGTATTACGCAGTTGAGCTTATCGTAGTTGAGAAAACAAAGCACATTACAATACACATCTCACCATTGTATAAATCAATAAGTCACTTCCGACCACGTTCACTAGTTTAAATGTGTATGTGGACAAATACGCATAGGAAGTGAAGCGGATACCCCGTGAAGACGTTGGTGGATAATTGAGCTGAATCGCAAACTGACGGAAGACTGTGAATCATAGAACTTCGAACCAGTGGCTGAATGGTTAACGCGTTCGCCGCGAGACCTAAGGTTCTAAGTTCGACCCTTTGTAGGGTCGTGGGTGTGTACTCCTGAGAAGTCCGAAACTAGGACTAAACAGCATACTAGTGTTCCTAGCTTTTTGATGGTTCTACAAATGACGTTAGTTTGTGGTGAATACTACCTTACAATATTGTACATTTAAGGTATGTGATTAACCTCGCCTGGTTAACTAGTTTACTAGTTACTAGCCGGTCCTAAGCCCGGGTAAAGAGGGAAGGTTGGGCATAGGGCTAGCAACCCTACCCCGTAAAACAAATCTAACCGCTAAAGAAACTTCAAAGCACAAACAAAATATAAAAAATGAAAACAAACTTATTCCCCGCTGGAATCGGAGAGGCGAAATGACGCCAGTTGGTGAAAGCCTTCGGGAAGCCAATTGGCCGATGTGTCTTCTCTCGATGAAAGCGAAAGTAAACGTGGGGACATGGAATGTCCGCACGATGTTTGAACCCAGTAAGGCAGCCCAGATTGCAAAGGAGATGAGAAGGTATAACATCGAAGTGCTTGGGATTTGCGAAAGCAGATGGAATGGGAGTGGACTCTCCAAACTGTCAACTGGAGAATCAATAATCTACTCCGGTCACCCAGACGCCAACCACGAGCACACTGAGGGAGTGGCTATCATGATGTCCTCAAGAGCATCGAAGGCTCTCATGCAGTGGGAACCAATCTCCTCCAGGATCATGACAGCAAGATTCAACTCAAAAGGAAGAAAGGTCACAATCATACAATGTTATGCACCTACAAATAATGCAGAGCAAGAGAAAAAGGAGGATTTCTACAGACAACTTCAATCAACACTGGACAAGACGTCAGTTGGCGATATCAAAATTCTGATGGGCGACATGAATGCCAAACTGGGAGGGGACAACACGGGAAGAGAACTAACCATGGGTCGAGAGGCACTAGGTGAAATGAATGAGAATGGAGAATTGTTTGCAGAATTCTGTGCATTCAACGATTTGGTGATTGGAGGCAGTGTGTTCAGGCACAAAGATATCCACAAAGCGACATGGATTTCACCAGATGGACACACTAAAAATCAAATCGACTTTATCTCAATCTCAAGAAAATGGAGACGCAGTCTACTTAACACAAGGTCAAGAAGAGGAGCAGATGTAGGTTCAGACCACTACCTAGTGCAAGGAACCTTCCAAATCAAGTTAAAAGCCTTCAAGGAAGCTGGTGATAGACCTCAATTCAAGTACAACACTCGGAAACTGAAGGATGAAACTACAAAGGAGATCTTCAAGGCAGCCATCAAGACAAAATGGGAGACATCGAGCAACATCCCTGAAGAAACCTGTGTGGAAGAACACTGGAAGTCTTTGAAAGCTATGTGGAAAGAAACCTGCACAACAGTATTAGGAAGGAAGAAGAAAGAAGACAAGGAATGGATCTCGACGGATACCTGGAAGCTGATAGAGGAGAGGAGGATGGTGAAGCAGAAGATAAACCAGTGCAAGGATGCTCAACGACAAGAGGAACTGAGCACAATGTATAAAACACTGGACAAAGAAGTGAAGAAGAGTGCACGCAAAGACAAAAGACACTTCTACGAAACACTGGCAAGTGAAGCAGAACAGGCTGCAGGTAAGAGAGACCTGACGACATTGTATCAAATAACCAGGTTGCTATCAGGGAAGAGACCAACACAGATGAAACCAATAAAAGATGAAGGAAATTTAATTACAAAAGAAGAGAAACAGAGGAAACGATGGGCCGACCACTTCAAGAAGCTCTTGAATCGACCACCACCTGCACTTCGTCCAGAAATACCACCTGCAGCCGCTGAACTACAAGTGAACATTAATCCCCCAACGAAAATGGAAGTCCTGAACGCCATAAAGCTACTGAAATGCGGGAAAGCAGCAGGACCAGATGGAATACCGCCAGAAGCACTGAAAACAGATGCAGAGACAACAGCGGCCATGCTCACACCACTATTGCAGAAGGTGTGGAAGGAAGAGAAGGTACCTGACGATTGGAAGAAGGGTTACCTTGTCAAACTGCCGAAGAAGGGAGACCTCAGTGCTTGCAAGAACTGGCGCGGAATCACTCTCCTGTCCACCCCAAGTAAAATATTAAGCCGCATCATCCTGGAGAGGCTAAGGGATGCACTGGATTCAAAACTGCGACCGGAACAGGCAGGCTTCAGGAAGTACAAATCATGTGCAGACCAAATTGCAACGCTTCGTATCATCATAGAACAGAGCATAGAATGGCAATCACCTCTCCACCTCAACTTCATCGACTTTGAGAAGGCCTTTGACAGCGTCGACCGAGAAGTAATTTGGAAACTGCTTCAATACTACGGAGTACCGCAAACCTTTATCCGCCTCATTCAACAACTATATGAAGATGCCACATGCCAAGTAATCCACAATGGGAAGCTCAGTGATGCCTTTGAAGTGAAGACAGGAGTGAAACAAGGTTGCCTACTATCCCCCATGATATTCTTGATTGTGGTGGACTGGATCATGCAGCAAACAGTAGGCAGCGAGAAGAGGGGGATACACTGGACGACGGAAAAGAACCTAGAAGACTTGGATTTCGCCGATGACTTATGCCTAATGTCACATAAACTTGAAGATCTGCAGGCAAAAACTAACAAGTTGATAGAAGAGGCAGCGAAGACGGGACTTCAGGTGAATATAGAGAAGACAGAAGTGATGAAGATACCGCACCACCACCATCAACAACAACAACAACAAACTCCAATCACCGTCAACGGGAGAAACTTAAAGGAAGTAACCTCCTTCACTTATCTAGGAAGCACTGTTTCAACTACAGGCGGGACGGACGAGGACGTCAAAGTCAGAATCGGAAAAGCAAGACAGGCGTTCATTAGCCTGAAACCAGTGTGGAGATCTTCTGCACTCAGCATGCGGAACAAGATACGGATTTTCAACACCAACGTCAAGTCAGTGCTCTTGTATGGCTCAGAGACTTGGCGCGTCACGAAAGGTATTTCCAATAAACTACAGACATTCATCAACAACTGCTTACGCTCGCTGCTGAAGATCAGATGGCCAGAAAAAATAAGCAACAAGGAACTCTGGGAACGAACCAACCAAGAACCTATCACGCAACAAATATGCAGGAAGAAGTGGAGATGGATTGGCCATGCACTGAGAAGGCCGACGGAGGACATCACGCGTCAGGCCCTCGAGTGGAATCCCCATGGGAAGCGACGAGTTGGACGTCCGAGGGTGACATGGAGGAGGTCGTGCGAGCAGGAAATGAGAGCTTCTGGGCTGTCGTGGGACCAGGTTCAAAAGATCTCAGAGAACAGAGGTCACTGGAGGCGTGCTACTGAAGCCCTATGTTCCACTAGGAACCCAAGGGACTAATAATAATAATAAGGTATGTGATTATATAAGTTTTTTTCTAATCACCATTATAATTTCAAGCTGTATGCAGTTGATAAACTGTGAAATGAAATCATATCATTTCAATCTGCAAAATCTAATCGTCTTCACTTTCTCCAAATTTGTCACGGGAACTAAATGCTTGAAACAATACCGGTATTTTAGGTACCAGCCAAACGCTGCGGTCGTTTCCGTTCCCCGATATCCTACAAATATATCTACCAACTTATAAGAATTACATAACAGATCTAAATTGCAATAGTTTTGCCACAATACAATTATGTCAACCAACAAAAACAAACTATGAATACCTATAAAACTTACGCCAAGTGGCACAGAGAAGATAAAGCCTCACCACGGAAACCATAGGTTTCAACAGAACTCAGATCGTCGAAAGTATTTAGCTTAGAAGTGCAGTATTTCCCGGCTAAATGGTGTCATTTATAGATATTCAGTACTCACTGAGACCCTCAAAATCTTCTTCCTTGATTCCAACGCCGTTATCAATCACTTCCACAGACTCGCTACCATGGCCTCTCAACTTAATTTCTAGCATTAAATTATCAACTAACAATACTCACTAACCTATTTTAGACGATTTCGCATCGATGCTGTTTTCTAAAAGTTCCTTTACAGCAGAGGCAAGGGTTATTACCACCTGACCAGAACATATTTTATGAACTAGACTTTTATCAAGCCGTGAAATAGAAGGTAACTCATCCCTTGAAGAATCCATGCTTTAGAGTTAAATTTATGCTGTTGAAGGATTACGTTGTTGACTGCAGTAATCCGATTGGCATAAGATTTCACAAGCGATCTAAAACAAAATGCAACAAATTTAAGGGTCGTACTTTTCACAAAGCAAAAGGTCTATACATATTAATTTAAAAAATTCCACCACATTTTGTACGGATAAACTGTGATTTGGCAGTTTAGATACTCAAAATCCAAATGATACCCTACAAATCTGAATCAAGCTCCCATAACTTAATTCCAAATAACCTACGCCAGCGTTGTGAATGAGGTTCAAGAAGTTTTACATGGATCTGCTCCTGAATTCGAAATTACCATAACCATTACACTGAATTACAACTTATCTACTGAAACTCCGTCGTCCACAAACTGTTACTTTCTCTGGCCTCTAGAAACTCAGCAACCATCAGGAGGTTTGTGCACGAAGTAGTAGAACACACCTACCTTATGAGTTACCTGGCTTCCCAAACTATGGTATATGGAGAGGGTTTAAAACCTACGTCTTACTGGTTGAAAACTGAGTGCCTAAGCCAATTAGGAGATGAGTGTTGACAGAGCTATGAGAGCGTTTGACACTTTCTAGCCGGCTATGCCGAAAAAAGTTGTTTTCTGGCGGTACCCGAGGTAGAAATCGGGTTGGTATTGGTGGTGTGTAACCGCAGAGTCCAAGGGACATATGTTTGGGGCAGGTCAGATGCAACCCTTTTTGAAGTTCGAGATTTGTTTTTTGAACTGGATTATGGACCTACATCGCCTGCACCAATATAGGAAGGAGTAGAAGTGTTCTTTATTATGAACGACCTTTGCTAAGCCGTGTTCTTGTAAGGAGGGTAGCATCAGCATGCCAGAAGGATAACACGACACTCCCAAAGAAGCTGATCGCCGGAACGAAAAAGCAAATATTTTTAAGCGACATATTGGGCCGTTTTCTGTCTGATTAAAATGGAGTTGTCTTAATAACAGATGGAGGAATTTACGAGAGAATAGGCATAAATAGACGATGATCAGTAAATTAAGTTGACACGGTAGTAATTTCACTAATACAAAAAGACACGTCAGAACTATAAACTGTTAGTGATTCAGAATGTGGAATGATATGAGTTAAAGTTTGGAAGTTTCAAATTGTGTCCTTGGAGTGGGTGGTGGTAAAATACGTTCCTCATTTATTGTGACAGCAGGTTTACAGGGACCACGAAAATAAGAAGGGTGACAGGAAGTATGGTGCATTCTCGATAAATGAAAGCAGAGAAGTCGAAATCCACTCAGCAACTGCATCCACGTTTAAGCATAAGGCGACAACCCACACTTATTGTGTAAAAGCTAATAATACTACCTTGCTGCCTATACAACGATGGGTGGAACAGGTTTCAAACCCATAGCCCATCGGTTGGAAGTCAAATGCCTAGAACAATAAAACAGTACCACAGGAGAGCAGTGAAACAAAGGAATTAGAAGTAGCAGCAACTACAACCCCAAAATTGAAACCAAATATTAGCGAGTAACTTACAAAATATGTGAAATTATTCACTGAGAAACGGGGAATTTTACAGGTTTTGTGGTAAAGTGAAACATTACGTTTCAGTAAAAAACTGCAGGATGACGAATTCTTTTGCAATTACAAACTAAAGGAGAACAAAAGGTTCAGAATCGCTGAATGATGGAACAACTGAAAGTGATAGTCTGTAGAGCCCACCGGTTCTCCTAATGAAGTTTCATAGGAAGTGTAAATTCTGCGAACTGAATAATATAAACAGAGTAACAAAACCAAATAAGATAACTGAAACCAAGAGGGTTGACAGAGCCAGGTAGAAATCAAAAGCGCCAATATGCATTCTCAGTTACCAGAATTCTATGCACAGTGTATGCTTATACAGTAGCTCAAGCTGGAGCAATCCTATAAAAATGGTTGTCTTGATTAGAAAAGGATTCCGTTGGAATCCTGATCAGGCGTGAGATTTGTAAGCACTCATTACGCTCTATAAAAACGTATGGGAGGCAGCAGGCAGTAATTAGGACTGAAGACTCTATTCCAGCCAGCATTAGCTTTAGGCGCACATTGAGTTTTGGGCTAGAACCTGTAAATTTTACTTCGGGCGCATATCGGGCGACGCACGATATCCCCCGAATGTTCCAAACCTTTTCCCCGAAAGTGTCAAAAGTCACGAAGTGCGCCCTAAGTTTCTGTAATGCGCTTAAAGTACCCAAAGTGTCTGTAGTGCGCCCGAAGATTTGTAATAACCCATATCCCAAGTGATGAGAAGGCTTAATCAGTAATATTTTTATCTGAATATTTGACGTTTATGTGCTACATGTATTTTTATTACAGAAGTCAATAAATTGTTAGCGGCCAAGTAAAATATTTGCGAAATTTAGGGGGAATACCCAAAAGTTACTAAGTGCACCCGAAGAAGCTTCGGGTGAAACCCGAAAGTTCTAAAGAGCGCCCAAAGTAAATGCTGGCTGGGATGGTTGAATAGTGCTGAGGCCTGAACAAGATGGCGTACCCTCACCTGGAAGTTTATATTACCAGTTTGATTACCAGTCTGGACACATGAACAGATTGGGTAAATAACATTCCGTGGGAGGGGCGGGACTGTTAACCAAATGTCTAGTAGACAGTCACCTTGAATTCGGATTGCCGCGAAAAATCCACCACTTAGTTTTCACAATACCTTCGGAAAGTTAGGCACTTACGATTAGTCAGGGATAGTGACTTTTCTGACAGACGTGTAGAAGTCATGAAGAACCGCTTTTAAAGTGACACCACTGAAACTGACCACCGAAGTCAAATAAGAGAAGAGATTTTAAAGTGTTTGACAATCGTCTTATCATAAACTCTAAAACACCATAAAAGTTTGGATCATGTTTGATTGTGTGTCTAACTAACAGAGTACTTCTTGAGGCGTTCATCTGTTGAGAAAGCGAGGTATAGTTAATAGTCTGTTTGACCAGATCTTGGTAATACAGGCATTGTGATTGCAGCTTACAGAGATTTTCTTACACGTAAAAATGTCAGAATACGACAGAATAAAATGTCTTCTCTTGTGGCGGAATAATGGTGGCGTAAGGGGGAAACATACAGAGTGTCAAGTGACCTGCCGATGTCGTCACCTTTTGCACCAACTCTCTACTCAGATGAATCTTAAACGCTTTCTGTACCGAAAAGCGAAAAAAGTCAGACGTATCCAGTTAGCCCGTAATATTTCCGCCAAAGGCACTAAGTTTTTGAACTCCAGTATGAAATCCTAGTACTTTTGCTTGACTTCAAATAGGATTTTCTTAGTTTCTAACAAGAAAGATTTCTTAACTCACCTGGCCAACTAGCACAACAGAAGTGGTGAACAGTACATGTACCGAGGTCTAATAGACGGACACTTACGCTCTAAAACTAGAAAAAATCCACCGGTAAGGTCTGAAAAGTATTCCTTTACCAGGAAATCATAAAAAAATTATTTTAACATGAAGCAGCGCATTTTATGTTTCACCATAACTAGCCCAAGCACTGGCGTGCCTGTCTCATTATTTCCATTGGTTTCTCTCGGCTGATTGAAATTGTGTCCTGAATACTGCAATGCCGACCCCGTTACGTGGTTAAGCTGCTCAGCACTTCTTTCCGTTATCATGGGAAATATTCACAACCACCCAGGCTATTGTGAATTCATGTCTACATCACTATCAGCGGAGAACAGCTTGGCGTACCGAGTGCACTGAAGTTAAAGTGAGGCTGGACTAAGCCAGATCACCAGTCAACTGAAAACTTCATACCATTAGAATCCGCAGATAGCTGCCGCCCTGACATGGTGGTTGAACATTCATAGCACAGTGGTCTAACCACCCAAACTACTCGAATCGCTTGTTCCCATGAGGTCCTGCCGTGCCCAAATGTCCTCCCTGATGACTATGCTGTATGATCAGGCCCTCATAATGGAAGATTTTAGCAAAATAGCCCTTAATCCAAAACGAAAGAGTGCAGTATCGGGCAGGGCTTGCCACCGAGACCTCCCAATCACCATCACGCATAAAGATCGGTGATGACGCAGGCTGGAGGTCGAGCGGAAAGCAGTAAGGAACTGGATCATATCTTAAAAACGCCGACTTCCGGTAGAAGACGTCTACACTAAAATTCATCCCAGCAACAGCAATCGCATCATGGTGGCGTTTTTTAATCCGGTGATTAGTGAATATTTATCATGTAGATGATCTCGGACTGGTCCCTTCCACGACAAGGCAAACTACATGGTAGCAAGCAAATGCTTGTCTATGGCATTGTGGCCACAGGAGTGGAGATGCCAATTATTTGACCACTGCTGGGGACCATTTGGTGACATCATTAGTAGAGTAGTCTGCAAAAATGTCTTTGCGGTGGCAGTTGCATTCGCGAAGTAAACCTCGTGGCTGAAGCGGAGCAGTGAGCCGCTATTAAAATCCAAGGAGAAGGTGCAACAAAAATGGGGGCTATCCAGAGAAGGCTCCGATCAAATGTCGCATGAACCCTGCAGGAACAGATGCACACTGAGGCGCTGAGGGATGGGAGATCATTTTGGTGAAACCTTGTCCAGAAGTTTGAGGCGAACCTTAAAGACATACGTAGATTTATGGCGCAGCAAATGTTTACTAGCCAGGAAGCATGCTGCCCAAGGGATCCAAGTCAAGAGGACTTTCCTGGATTGAGCATTGCCGAAAACATTTAGCCCCACATGTCGCGTTTATTTTCATCTTAATCCTGTAATGTAAACATTGACCTTTTTTATTTAACTTCGTCCATCTTGTTTGTGCAACTATAATGAAGATCTCTTTGCTACTTACTGCATCAGTGTGTCTCATTTTGGTCAGAAACAGCGTTGCCTATGAAACCGAAGATCTGTGGCTAAAGTGTGTACACATATCTTGCTGTAGAGTTTCTCTGCCATTTTAATATATGTCACTTGTTTGGCAACGAAGCGTTTTGAACTTCTTCGGTTTTGCTTTGGATTTGGGGACTCCCGAGATTCGTAACTTTGTTATGAGCTACGCAGTGAGTTTGACGTAATACTACCTTCGATACGCAGCTCGACATCCCTTCGGACAAACAAGTGTACCCACTACCTGAAAATCCACAACCCTGCCCAAAGTGGAAGGGCTTAGCAGATTACGAGTAACTCTTGCTTTGATTCTTATAAGACTATCAAAGCTGCGCTCCGAAAAATCCCCAAGATGTGATGGTATTAACCCGGATGTGTTGTAATAGTGTGCGAACACCCTACGTGGCCAGCACTTTATAATAACCATATACTCCTCAGATGAACACAGGCTTTCAAGGGCACGGAAGGGTGCCATTCATTAGCCCGTCTTCAAAGAGGGGGACTGGTATGACCCGGTATTGCTGACCAGTAGCACCTCCACGATAGTTGTCAGAGGTAATCGAAAGACTGGTGGGCGACCACACTGGTGAGTACTTCGACGTAGAAAGAGGCATTAGGTGATGTCCAACAAGGCTTACGTATAGGTGCCATACTTCTGGCATACTGGAAGCCTTTGACGACTGGACACAATGTTTGGACCTAAAATTCCCTGTTCATGGGACTACCTCTGATTTCATCAAGGTCTCTGACACAGTCCCTGGCGCTGTTCTTATAAGTAGGACTGCTAGGGTGGGTATGGGCCACCAGATGCTATTCCGAATGAAGAACTGGTTAGACTACAGGGAGTTCCACAGGACACTTATCAGGCTTTAGTCAACTTGGAGATCATCATCGCCCAGTATTTCAAAAACAGTAATTTAGAGCTCATTTGCTGTCATCGCGTTTTCGGAATGGCTCGCCATTCAGCCTGTTGTGATGCCCCAGTTTTGTATAAAACATTGTTATCGATCCGAACGTTTCAACGTATCATTCCCACATTATTTTTACGGTATGACTAATGGTCTATTTTCTGCCTCTATTGTAATGTGATTCACTGATTGGTTAACTTTTACTCTTACTATGCGAATTTCTCCAATTGCGGACAAGGTCAGTTTCCATGTGCATACCTATTCACCTGTCTTGGATTGATTCATTGTTACTGTATAACATTCTCGGAGCAATATAGACTCTCACATCTGCTAGCTTTGGTCTTCTGTCTCTTCGTCCCGGGGTTGCAGCCAGTGTCTCTTGCGCACCGAGTACCTGTCAGCTAAATGCACGCATTACATTCGTTTCGGAATATATACAAATACCATTAGCACTTCAAAGCGATAACACAGCCTCAGCTCTCTCATTCCATTTTGTGCTGACAACGTTATGTTTTGGAACGCTGTGATATGGTGAGGAGAATCGAATCCACTTGAAGGTCATCTTGGAATGCTCAAAGAGTGATGAAGAACAACGTACTCGCCTTCAACATAGATACATACCAGACCATGTTCTTCCCCAATCCGGACTTGCGAAAGGTATACTTCTGCCTCCGTAGTGCGCCTCTTTCACAGGACCACGGTGGAAGACCTGAGAATAACACTAACCGAGAAACCAGACACCAGTTTTGACCATCCAAGAGATGGCTTCAGAGCCTACGTGGTACTACACTGCATGCGTAGACAAGTGAGTACCCTCACTCCGGAACTCTTTCTGAAGCTCTACATGCCTACACACGACCTTCAAAAGGGACTCAAAACTTCTCATCACCAGCATCCCCGAAAAGGCACTTGAACCTCCTAGATGAAACCCAGAGGCAAGCCCCGTAGGGTATGGTAAGCGTGCAGCGTGCAGGGTCGAGGGTCTGAGCCTTTGCCCCCTAGTTGCCTCTGGGTTGTATGGGCGATAGGTATAGGCTTACAATTTATTCGGTGATCCAGCACACTCGAACAAGGGTATATTGCTCAACGATCGCTATAGCGTTTGTTGTGGAAACCCAAAACTAGTTGCCCTCCAGCGGGCCGGTATCCATGTGTATTCACACTCCTTCCAGTCTCGGCTTGGGGCCAACTAAAGGCATTACCTGCCTAGGTGGCCACCACTCTATCTGTCGACAGCTTCAAGAAAGTTTGTGCAGTTAAGCAACGACGTATGACTTACGCTTATGCATTTGGGGCACGGACTAGGCGGAAACAACCAACTGACTTCGTATCATCCCAATACCGTTGTCCCCATGCAGAATCTTTTCTACTTTAATGACGACAATATTATTTATTCGTACACCTTAACCAATCATGTGACTTCCTACAGGGCGTACCACCTCAACAGTTGCCGTACCGCCAATAATGTCATTATTTCCAGCCCCATCATGTGTACCTCGCTCCTCTCTCCTTCTATCCCTTCCCCGGCTCTCTACGGTTCCACCCTATTTACCAATATTCCAAGCGTCCCTGCTTGCTTTCCTATCTCCCCAAACCCGCCTTGATTCTTTCTGCCGTTCCATTCTCCTTTCCTTACGTTTCTTTCTCACCTTTTCTCGACTCTGATTTCCTTGGTTACCTTCTTATTCTCCTCGTCTCCCTTCAACAACCATCCCCGACAACTGTCTAGTGTCACCACAGTTCTAGAGCCGACCTGAACCACAACTCCGGATGGATAACATGCTTCCCTACAAACTTGATCAGCGTCCATCCCGTCTTTAAGTTTACCAGGGCTGCAGCAGGCTAGTGGATGGATCTACTGCATCGGACTCCATTAGTGATCTACAATCACTCCTCTAGGCCGGGATGAGAGCAAAAAGAATCCAGTCGGTCTACACAAGCTCGTGGAGCAGGTTTGGATATTGGATGCTGATAATCAAGAATATTGCAGG